TGTCTGAGCAGTGTCCTTCCTGGTGCTCCCTGATCAGTCATGAGCTGGGGGAGGTGGGTGGAAATCCCCAGCGGTCTGCAGGGCTGGGGTTGGCTCTCTCCTGCTGATTAGGGGTTCCTTGGCTTAAGAGGCATTAAGGAGCTGGAATGAAAGGTATGAGGGTGTGGGACGCGTGTGCAGCTCTTGGTACCGAGCCTCGGCTCCCACTTCAAAGCCGTGGCCTCTGCCAGTGTCAGGAGGAGAGATGAAAGGGCAGAGGAGAGTGGCTGAGCTGAACTGCAGGAATTCCATGCTGTGTTTCTGTTTTTCTTCCTTCTCTTTAACCCCTCCTAGTCTGGGTTTCAGACCAAACCTCACTAATAACTTTCTGTTTACGATAAGGAGCGTTTTCCTTGGCACCTGGGGCCGCGACTGTGACGTCGCCTCAAGATTAAAGGCTTTTCTTTTCCTGCACTGGAGGCTGACTTGATTTTTCAAACATAAGCAAGCTCTGTGTTCTCAATTACCCGTGCCTCGGGAACCGGTTGGTAAAAGAAGTCTCCTTGTTGCTGCAGGTGGTACAAGCTTCGCTCCAAACCGGGCAAGAAGGAAAAGGAGAGAGGGGAGATCGAGGTGGATATCCAGTTCATGAGGAGCAGCATGACAGCCAGCATGTTTGACCTGTCCATGAAGGACAAGGCTCGCTCTCCCTTTGGGAAGCTCAAAGACAAGCTCAAGGGCAAGAGGAGCAGCGGCCTCTCGGACACGGCGTCGGCGATCGTGCCCAGCACCACCCACTCCCCCGCTGACAGCGAGGATGAGGCAGTCGAGAAGGAAAAGAAGAAATCCAAGTTCAAAGCGCTCTTCTCCAAACCTGGGCTGCAGAAGACCCTGTCCCAGTCCATGTCAGTCCTGCCCACGCAGCAGCCCGTCACCCAGAAGGTTCGGCTTCGGCCCAGCGACTTCCAGCCACAGTGGGATGAGGAGGAGTCCGAGACTTCTCCGACCTCAGAACGTGAGTATTGGCACTCACTGAGCTGGTGAGCACAAAGCCACTCTCCAAAGGGTTGTCTGCACTTTCCACAGCACTAATTAAACTCTTCTTTCTGAACAAATCCACGGAAAGCCCCTCCTGGCACTGAGGTTGTCAGCAGCAAGCGCCAGAGGAAAGGTTTTTCTTGTATCTTGAATTTCTCCCTGTTTGATTTTTTTTTTTTTCCAGGAGCCCTTGGAAATGCCCCAGAAGAGAAGCCAGCTCCTTCTCCTCTGTTTAAATCTCGTAAAACAGCCCTTTTGGACAGCAGGCAGCAGACCCAAGGAACCAGTAACCACACCAAGAAGGAAGGGCTCTCTTTGTTCAGTGGCCTGAAATCCAAAAGCGATCCCGTTTCCAAGTCTAGCCTGTGCATCAACGGCAGTCACGTTTATATGGAAGAGACCACGACAAAGGACACTCCGACCTCCTCCCCCTCTCCTCTCAACTTCAGGAGGAAGCAGCTCTTCGCTTCAGAGGAGAACCTGTACTCCAGGTCCACCAAAACACCTGAGGAGACAGGAAGAACCTCTCCTAGTCAGGCTCTCTCTGGGTCCACGTCCTTGGAGACCTTCAAATCCATGACTCTGCCGTCATACAAACTGCTGAGCAGCGAGGAGCAGCTGGACACCAGTGTTCCCCCGAGCACCGAGGCTGGGAGGGAGACCAAAAAACCAGACCACAAAAAGTCTGCCTTGCTCTCCCTGGTCACTGGGAAGAAGGAGGCGGGGAAGGCCGGAGACGCTGAGAATATTCCCGACAGGACCCTGCAGAGTGAGGAGAACAAAATTCCCGAAGAGAGCAGTGAGGAGGAGGCCAAATGTGTTGAGCCCCCAGCAGATCTGGGCAGAGGGGACCCATCAGGAGACACTCAGAGCACAGAAGACACCACTGCAAACAAGCAGGCGCTCGGCCCCGGTGAGGAGGAACGGAAACCTGAAAAAGCTGCTGCCCCAGCCAAGACCAAAGCTGTGAAGCCCACGGTGAAGCCCAGGTGAGTCCCAGCTGCTGCTGGGAACTGGGATGGGCAGTGGTGGTGGCAGGGTGGTGGCGTGGGCTGTGTCCTGCCACAGCTGGGCTCTGTGGGCACTCGCGGGATTCACGCTGGCGTTGGGTGCTTTGGCAGCAAATAACTCCCCGGTTCTTTGTGGGTATGAAGAACAGATGGATATAGGAATGCTCCTTGTAGGTGATGCCAGAGTAGTGCTTCTCTGAGTGCAGGCACATGTGTAGGTACTGTAGGGGTGGTTTTTCTCGCTGGATCTCCTGCACAAACTAACTCTGCCTGAGCTGTGCGACTGGAACCTCCCTGGGGTCAGAAATGCCTGTTCTAACATCTGTGCTTCCCTCTTCTCTACTGGGCTGTGGTCTTCCAGAGGTTAACCTTGGAGCCCTTCTGCTTTTTGACATCATTCACAGCAACACAAGGGGATTTTGTGTGGATTTGTACACCAAGGCTTTTTCGGAAATTCTGCTCCTTTATGCTTCGTACACAGATATATATAAATTGTGTGTGTCTGGGGTTTTATATATATCTATAGGGATGCCCTACTAATAAGGCTGTGGTTTGTGTGTATCCCTAACTCCTCATTTTCAGTGCTTCTCATGTTTAAATTTCTTGCCTACGAAGTGTTTTATGTACTAATAAACCTGCTTGGGGTGCAAAGAGATGGTGCTTAAAGCAACAAAAACAAGCTCTGCAGCAGAAGAGTTCTGACATAAAATGACATAAAGTCCTTCCTAAAGATGCAGTGAAGGATATAAAGTCTCTCAGACAGGCTCTGAGGTCTCTTGCAAGTATAATTCACCCCCGGTTGCAGGAGCTGATGGAGGCTGGTGCTAAAACTTGTCTGTTCCTGCCTCGTGTTGCATCCGCAAGTGACATGCGAGTTTTTTGTCCCTTTTTGCAGACTGGGCCTGTCTCCAGAGGAGGAACCCAAAGCCACGCTTCCCACTCTTGCACCTGACCCCCTCCCTGCTTTTCTTTCTGTGCACCATATCAGCAGTGCCAATAACCCTTTTGTTTCTAAAACGGGGCAGAAGGTCCAAGTGCCAGACTCTGAAAACGTCACTGGTTCTTCTGCCTCTCTCACTTCTCCTGCTTTTGGTGCAGAGCTTTGGAATGGCAAGAACCCCTTTACTCCCAAGTGGAACAGGGCATCCACAGCCCTGGATCCCGATGGGATTGCCCCTTTCCCTTCATCCCATCATTTTCCAGCCCCTGTTCCCAAAGCACCTCTTCCTGGGCAGGTCTCTCCCAGGGGTAATAATCCCTTTGCTGCTGACTGGGGCCAGGGTCCTGAGAGCTTTGCTGCGGGGGCTTCCCAGGGTCTGTCTGTCCCACCCACACCTTCCCTCCCCTCTGATTGTCACTTCAAGGACAACAATCCCTTCGTGTCCAAGCATGGGGGGCGGGCAGGTGTGCCAGGTTTCCAAAGTGCTGCTGGTTCTTCCCCTTCCTGCCTTCCTCGTGGTGGGGACTGTTCCACAGCAGGGCACCCTGGTCACGATGCTTCAGGGGGCTCTGCAGGTGTGGCTGTAACTAGTGATGTCACAGCTGTGCCAGACCCTCTTGGCACTTCGTCTGATCCCCCTTCTGACCCTCCTGGGCTGGCTCAGCAGCAGCACTGCGATTCTCCCCAGCTTCACGCTGAGGATTCTTTGGAAAGCTGCAAGCCAGGTGGTGGGAAATCCGTGTCCTCTGTCCTGGGTGGATTGCAGGGTGTTACAGCAGGTGGTGCAGGTCTGGGAGGGCAGGAAGGTGGAGGCGATTCCAGTGGGGGTTTGGGTCCAGGGGCAGCAGAGGGGCAAGCAGGGTTGGCTGGTGAGCTGGGAGCAGAGCTCTGCAGTGACAGCACAGGGCCCCTCCGGAACAGCAAACCCACTGTGGAGGTCACTGGTGCAAACGCTGAGCCCTGCAGGGGTGACACAGGCTGTGCATCTCTCTCCCAGGCTGGTGACAGCGAGCCTGGGGATGAGCAGGAGGTCTGTGCTGGAGAGCAGTGGGCACAACATGCACCCCCCTTAGAGCCACAGGCAGCTCCACTGGCTAGAAATGACTTGCTTCCCCAGGTCAAACCAGCCCTGGGAGGCTGCTCGGTGTCCCCTCAGGAAGCAGATGCTGAGAGGGATGGCAGTGAGGTCCTTATGCCACCAAAGCCAGCCCCACGGAGGGCTGTGGCACTGGGGAAGTGCCCACCAGTTTCCCAGGCTGAGTTAATGGGTGGTGATGGTGTAAAATCCATGCCTGGGCTCCTGTTACCTGCTGGTGAAGCCTCAGCTGCTCGTGGGTGCTTCCCCCACAGTGGCTCCTCGGAGACTGTCCCTCCTCCAGTGACACCTGGAGGTGACAGGCCTTTAAGAAATGAAGCTGATGATGATTTATCTGCTGGTCTCACGAGTCTCAAGGCTGCCATTCCCGTTCCTGGAGACCGCTGCTCCAAGGTGGCCAGTCTGCCTGTGATCCTGGAGGGGGGCTCCGATGACGAGCTGCTGGGGGACTGCCAGGAGAGCTGTGGGGTCACTGTGGGTGATGAAGGTGTTCCAGGGACTGGAGAGCAGCCCCAGGGTCTGACCCCTTTGCAGGGAGAGCTCTCTGAGAGCTCTGCTGCAGCCCCCACAGCCCTGGCTGCTCCAGGAGGAGGAGGAGGAGATGTTCCTGCTGCCTGGAAGCCAGGCACATCACCCGTGCTGCCTGCTGGAATGGGTGCTCCCAGGGTCAGCATCCAGGGAGCTGACTCAGCCTTAGGTGTGACATCTCATTCCAGGGAGTGCAACAGTCATTCTGAGAAACAAGAGCTGGGAACCAGTGCAGGTGTTGAGGAGCCTGCAGAGCGTGACCTCTCTGAGCCTTCTGCTTCCTCTTCCTCCCTGTCAAGTCCTTGCCACCCCTCCTCTTCCTCTCACTCCCTTCCCTCTGACACCCCGAGTCGTAGAGCAGAGTCTCCGAAAAAGCCAACAGCCGAGGGCTTCGCAGATAAAGCGGGAAATTCGGGCAAGAAGAGGCTTCTCCAGGCACGGGTTTCACCCTCTGAAACGTTCCCTAACCAAACCCTGCGGGGTGGGGAAACCGTGTCTCCTAAGCACAGGTGAGACCACGTGGGGGTCACGGCAGGTGCCTCTGTGCAGGTGTGAGCTCTGCTTTTGCCTCCAGATCTGCCCCTCCAGCTGCTGGATCTGCTGCTCTTTGCAGTGCTCTCGGCGTCAGGCGGCCCTGATTTCCTCTGGGGCCTGGATCTGTCGGGGCCTGGGCGCTGTCACCCGGCTTGGGGTTGTTGCTGGCTCCAGAAGGATCTGTGCAGCTCCTGAGGGTGCCCAGAGGGGACCAGCCACTCATCACAGCTCTCAGGGAAACCATTAGGGGAAGTACAGCAGGTGAATAGGGTCATTTCATCCAGCTGGGGACATGGACTGCAGCTGGGCCCTTTTTCAGACGTGGGAAAATGATAAATCATGATGCTTCATTTCCTGGCTGAATGGGGCTCCTCAGAGCGATCACAGCAAGTGGTGCAGCTCCTGCTGTGCCCCTGACCTGTCAGCCGTGGGGGCTTCACCTGCCTGGGGTCCAGGACACCCCTGGGCCAGCACTGGCTGAGATAGAAGTAAAATTTGCTTCCTGTGTTAAAACTGGTGACGCAAATCCTGCTCAGGCACATAACAGCAGCACTTCTTGGCAGCTTGTGGTGCCAGCTCAGACTGGAAAAGGCCTAACACACTTGTCCCAGGACAGTGGAAGTATTTGATGTGTTGCAAGAACCACAAATATGTTCTGGTTAGGAAAGTCAGGCTGAAATACCAGTGCCTGAGATCAGAGAAGCTGCCCTGTGTTCTGCCTCCTCATGTAGCCCATCCTGGCTTTCCTTCCATGACACACTCGGGATGTATTTCCCTTCCTGCTGCTCCTGCTTTATCTCCCATGCCTTAAGTCAGTAAAGATAGCAGAGAACTGGAAAATACCCACAAAATCCCTCTAGCTTAGAAATGCCTTGTCTTCTGAAGCTGAATCTCTTTTCTCTCAGGAGACAGAGACGGGTAGGAACCTTCCCCAGTTTCCTGCTGTGTTTGTTTTGAGTCAGGAGATCTGTGTCATGCTGGTGTTACATGTCCTGCCTAAACAACAGAAACCCTTTTTTCCCCGTTGCAGACTCCATCCTGTGAAGCCCATGAATGCCATGGCAAACAAGTCTCAGAGTAAAAACCTGAATGTCATCAGCACCATGAACGAAAAGCTGCTGGAGATGAGTGTGAAGGTATGGAGGGAAGTGGCACTTTCACTGTGTATTCCAGGTGATTGGCCTGGTCTCACATCTCACATCCTGGGCAGAAAAAGAACCCTGGTGGTTAGACCATGTTGGGTGTGAACTTGCCTTTGGTCAGCACCCAGAGGGGGGGGACAGTCTTCAAATATTTATTTTCTTGCAAACTGATCTGGAGCAGAGTTGATCCAAATGGCTGGGAGCATTCCTGGGTCAGCAGGGAAAGCCCCGGGCCCTGTTATTGTCTCTGAGGGTGTTCTGGGGAACATGGTAAGTTAGAACTGAAATAACAGCAGTGCCTCCTTCTGGTGTGAGGGGAGAGGATGTGAATGAAGTGGTTCAGACTGACACACTGCTCTTCTGAGCGAGTTGAACACTTGTGGTGGTGCTCTGATTCCACATAAATCGAGTGTGAGGCACCATGGGAGCCTGCTGTGCTCACATTCCCTGCCTGGGCAGCGTTCTGGGAGCTGGAGGAATCGCTTTTTGGAAGGTGTGGAGCACAGAGCAGCCGTGGCTCTGCCAGTGCTGTTTGTAAACCCATTCGCTGGTGCTTTGAATTCCCCAGGCCGGTGCCATTCCCGGTTTGGAATGCCCGTGTGTCAGCACTGACCTTGCCTTTCTTCTCTCCCCAAGAAATACGACCCTTCAGACCCTGCCTACGCCTACGCCCAGCTGACACACGACGAGCTGATCCAGCTGGTGCTGAAACAGAAGGACACCATTACCAGGAAGGACCTGCAGGTGCGGGAGCTCGAGGACTACATCGACAACCTGCTCGTCAGGGTGATGGAAGAAACCCCCAACATCCTCCGTGTTTCCATGTCTGGGAACAGAAAGGCTGGGAAGATGTGAAGGGTCTGGGCGTGCTGGAGGAGAAGGACTGAGTTCCTCCCGGAGCAGCCGGTGTGGAGCAGGTTGTGCTGCCCCTGGAAAATGACCTTTTTCCTGTTTCTGCCTTGAGCAACTCTCGGGTTGATTAGTAGTTCTATCTCAGCTCTTGCAATGGAGTCACCTTATCATATTTATTTTTTTTGTTTTCTTCCCATTGTCTGGGGAGACCAGGCATTAATCCAAAGGCTGGTTGTGATGGAAAGGAGGAGGGTTTTTGATGTGTTTTGCTTCCCAGCAAGGCACTGATGATCCTTTAGGAAGATTTTTTTTTTTTAATGGTTTTGTTTTGTAGCAGCTCTGATAGATCAGTTAGTTACTCTTCTTTCCATATCTGAAGTTGTAGTGCAATATGAAGCCCTGTACAGTAGAGCTTGAAGATTTGATTGTTTTTAAAATAATAATTAACTACACTGGAGAAGTCCAAAGATGCCCCAGCTTCAGACCTGGGCTGTAATTTAAAAGGAATTAATGCCCTGAAAGTTGAACCTAAGTTAAAAGATTAGAAGTGGATGATGTTCCAAAGAATTCTCCATGGGGAAGTTGGCAGGTTTTTTTGGGGTAGGAGGCGTTGATGTTCACGGTACATCCCTACCATAGGAATGGCAGCAATGGATTTGGACCAAAGGTACATTTTAAATCAGCAGAGACAGGGCTGTTCTGCCCACCCCACAGCAGGAGCAGCTCAGTGCTGCTGAGCAACCACCACAACCTCCTCCTCGTCCTCCTCCTCTGAAAACTAAATGTGGCTTTTTTTTCCTCTTTTTTTTTTTTTTAAGCGAGCTCTTGTCAAAGATCAAAAAAAAAAAAAAAACAACAAAATCAGATGCCTCTTTGCACCTCTGGGATTTACCAGGGCTGGGAGAGTCCGTAAAAGGCTTAGAAGGAATTTGGAATACAGAGTGGGGAGCAGAGGACCAAAGCTTCATGAGGACCAAAGCTTCAAGTTTCCAGCCTTAATTCTGTGGAAGTAAACACTCCCACCTTTGGAAGCTGTTGGGTTATTGGCTCTCACCCCTGCCTCAGGGGTGAGTTTCTAACTCAGTTTTTCTACAGCAAAGCACTTTATTGAGGGACTGGACCAGCTGGCTGGACTCTCATCCTGTGAGCAGTCTGCCTGCAGTTGTCAGAAACCACTGGAAACCACTGGAGATCTCGAATACTGTATTTTTGTAGCAAAGAGCAGTTTAATATATTTGCCTGGAGATGTAAAGATTTGTTAGGAAAATCAAAAAAAAAAACCACTGGTAATGACATTTTTCTTCCTCTAAACTGACCTACTACCAAAGTCTGGAGCTTCTCTGGCAGAGCTGCCCCTCACGGGGAGCTCAACCTGAAACAAGCCTTAAGTTCAAGAGTCTTCCGAGACTTCAGGTACTTCTTTTTCCTCATTTTAGTGTTATTTGAGCAGTGGGGGGGGATTCTCTCTGTACCCTCTGCTGTGAATGAAGGGTCCCCAATGCAGGCAGGGGGGTGGTTTAATCCTGCGTGGTGCTGGTTGGCCTTGCTGAAACTGCTGCTGCTTCTCGTGCCTTCTCGAGTGAGGAAGATGAAGGATTGATTTGTTTCCTCCTTGTGCCTCTGTGGATCTCTGGAAGAGAGGATCCTGTGCCTCACTGACAGACCTGGATTTTAGACTTTCATTCCTCAGCGTTTCTGATCTGGGTCAGAAAGGAGAGCCCCTTTGTGCCTTGGGATGGTGACTTACTGGGGTCAGACACCCAGCCTGGTGTTACTGGTTGTGACTGGGCACAAGTGAGCAGGACTGAGCTTGTTCTGGAATGTTCTGGGTACAACAATCGCTGGCTGCACCTCGGGGTGAGTGGATCTCGTGGATCCTGGGGTGTGTGCATTCCCCTTGGGAAGGACGTGCATCCCGGACTTACCTGCACAGAACCAAAGCAATAATAGGTGCTCTGAGCACAGGTGAAGCCTTAAAACTTGTAACATCCTCCCTTGGCTTGCTTTTTTGGCCAGTCACAGCTGTGTTCTGTGGAGGGGGCCCCGAGCTGTGCCTGCCTGGTTGTTCCCCTGGGTGGCTGGAGCCTCTTCCAGAGCAGACCCAGCACTGTTTGGGGTCACAGCCCTCGACTTCCACAGCCTTGGACCTCGTTTTTATTGGCAATACTCGTTAAAACCTTCCTTCGGTGTGAGGGGGACTGGCATTTTATTTCCTTTAAGGGCCTTGAGAATCAAACTTATTGTTTTATTGTTATTGAAGGATCTGAATGTATTTCTCCTGTTTGTACTCTCTGCTTTTTAGCCCAGGTACTGTTTTGTTTTTAAACACCTTTTTTTTTTTTGTGGTTTTCATGGAACACTAAAAATAATAATAAAAAAACCACCTTAAACCCAGCGTTCTGGGTGCCTGTTCCCAGCTGTTTTCCTCATTCTGGAAGAGCAGGAGGGGAAGGGATGATCCTTGCCCTTGTGACCAGCTCTGCTCATCCCCCAAGTATTTCGGAGCAGGTTTTTTGTTCCGTGCAGGAGGAAGAAGCTCCTGGCAAACAAGGGTGGGGAAACCTGACGGGCGGGCTCGCCCGCCCCTGCGGAGCCGAGAGTTTCTGCAGGGCAGAGCCGGATGGCCCCGTGAGGGGTGAGATGACCCCGTGAGGGGTGAGATGTCCCCGCTCCCAATCGAGGCGGTGCTGGAAGGAGCGGGAACTCAGGAACTCAGCCTGAAGAGCCTCGCCCCGCAGCCCTGAGCGCTGTTATTGCCCCGAGCGGCCCGCGGGGAAGGCGCGGAGGGTCCGTGCGGGGGTCCCGGGGCCGCCGCCGCCTCCCCCGGCACGGCGGAACGCGCGGGAGGGCGGAACGCGGCGGCTCGGCCGGGCGGGCGGGGAGGGGGGGGGGAAACGGACCGCGGGCCGCGCCGCTATTGGTGGGTCGTGGCCGAGCCGCGCCGCCATTGGCTGCGGGCGGTGCTCTCCTGCCGCGGTCCGGCCGGGGCCATGGCGGCCATGGCGGCGCGGGGCCGCTGCCCCGAGTGCGGCTCGGCCGCGCTGGTGGAGGACGCGCTGTACGCGCAGCAGCAGCTGGTCTGCGCCGCCTGCGGCTGCGTCCTGGCCGAGGGGCTGCTCACCACCACCTACAGCGAGGAGGAGCACCTGCGGGGTGCGCGGCGCGCTCGGGCCCCGCCGACCCGCCCCCCGCGCCCACGGTGTCCATACCGGTCCCTCCCGCAGCTCTCCCGGTGTCCATGGGGCCGGCCCGAGTGTCACACCGGCCGCTCCCCGCTCCCTCCATGGCCCTCAGCATTCCCCTGCCGGGGTTTGGGCTGCGAGCCGCTCATGAGCCGCTCCTGGGCGTTTAAGTCTCTTATAAGGGCTCTATGGGGTGGAATCCTTTATTATTAATGAAAGAGGCTGTCTAAATCTCGTTTAAGTCTCTTAGAAGAGCTTTAAGTGCAGGGGGCCGTTGGTTGGATCCGTGTATGGAGAGTCCCCGGCCCTGGGGGTGGATCCTGCCCCTCTCTCACCTGAGCTGCTCTGTCCCTTCTGATCGCTGGAATCCAGCTCCGTGGGGTTCTGGTTGCCCCAGGGCTGTCTGATCTAACCCTGTTTTCCAGAGGTGGCCTATTCCCAGAGCACCGGGCAGAAGGAGCAGCTGAGCCGCTGCCTGCAGCGAGGTAAGAGCCTTTCTCCCCCACTGGAGCTGCTGCTCCAGTTTGTTTAATGTGTTTGTAATGGTTAAAAAAAGCACGATGAAACCCTTTGGAGCTGGTGGCAGAGCCTGGGTGAGGCAGCTGGTGCTGCACTCAGCTCTGCTGGGTGAGCTCTGCCCGCTCCAGAATCCCGAGGAGAAGCTGCCTGATCCCACCCCTGAGGGCTGTGTCTCCCCACAGGGATCCGGCGGGTCCAGGACCTGTGCAAGGTCCTGCAGCTCCCGGCGGTGTTCGAGGAGACGGCCGTGTCCTACTTCCAGAGGGCCCTGCAGCTCCCTGCCTTCCGCCTGGTCAGCCTGGAGAAGAAGGAGCTGCTGGGGGGCTGCTGCGTGTTCGTGACGTGCCGCCAGCACAACTGGCCCCTGACCATGGGCACCATCTGCTCCCTCCTGTACGCCAAGCAGGAGCTGTTTGCCGGCGTCTTCCTGAGCCTGCAGAAGGAGCTGGGGCTCTCTGTGCCCGCCCTGAGCCTGGCAGACCTGGTGAAGACACACCTGAGCAGGTAAGGGAGCCCCTTCCAGGGGGCACGGGCCGGGCTGAGCTGTGTGACACGGGGCTGTGGCTTCTGTGCCTCCCTTGTCGCTCCTGGGCTGGGATTTCCTCCTCAGTTTGGAGAGGGCAGGGAGGTGCTCAGGGAGGTACCATGAGTTCCAGAACCGTGGAATCACTGAGGTTGGAAAAGACCTCCAGGGTCATCGAGTCCAACCTGAGTGCCACGTCCAGTCCTTCCCTGGACACCTCCAGGGGTGAGGACTCCCCCACCTCCCTGGGCAGCCCATTCCAATGTTTTAACCACTCTTCCCGTGAAGAAATCCCTCCTGGTGTCCACGAGCAGCAGCCCCTGGCCGGGGCAGGGCGTGTTTGTCCCAGAGGGCCTCCCTGCAGCCACATCTCCCAGGTGACTGTGGCTTCTGTGCTCCCGCAGCTTCCGGCTGTTCCAGCCCTCGCCCGGCGTCCCTGCCCCGTTCCTGGAGGACAAGGAGAAGCTGGTGGCCCGGACCATGGGGATCGTGGAGCTGGCCAGCGAGACGTGGCTGGTGACGGGCCGGCACCCCCTGCCCGTGGTCACGGCCGCGGCGTTCCTGGCGTGGCAGTCGCTGCAGCCCCGCGCCCGCCTCTCCTGCCCGCTGGCGCGGTTCTGCAGGGTGGCAGGGGTGGATCTGCCTCCTCCTGCCCACCTGAGGCTGAAGGAGCTGCTGGAGATCCTGCTGGGCATGGCCTCCCAGCTCGCCTGGCTGCGCGGCTTCCACCTGGACAAGAAGACGGTGGTGAAGCACGTGGGGGACCTGCTGCAGCACCGCGTGTTCCTGCTGAAAAACGCCTTCTGCCAGCAGGATGGGGAGGAGCAGCAGGGTGGTGCGGCCTCAGGCCAGGGCTCCACAGGCCCAGGCTCGCCAGCTGAGGGCACCCCAGGCCAGGACTCCCTGGAGAAGGGCTCCTCAGCCCAGGATTCCCTGGATAAGGGCTCCTCAGCCCAGGACTCCCTGGATAAGGGCTCCTCAGCCCAGGACTCCCTGGATAAGGGCTCCTCAGCCCAGGACTCCCTGGATAAGGGCTCCTCAGCCCAGGATTCCCTGGATAAGGGCTCCTCAGCCCAGGACTCCCTGGATAAGGGCTCCTCAGCCCAGGACTCTCTGGAGAAGGACTCCACAGGCCAGGGCTCTGTGGACCAGGGCTCTCCCAGCTCTCCTCCCATGGCACAGGAGAAGGGCTGTCCCTTGGCAGGGAGATGCCCGAGGCCCCTGCTCCCACCCTGCCTCATCCATCCCAGGAAGAGGCTGCGCTCGGCAGCTCCGAGCGCTCCGGACCCGCCCGTCACCGGCGACGAGCCCATCTCTGACAGCGAGATCGAGCAGTACCTGCGGAGCCCCGAGGAGATCCGGTCCTTCAGGAAGGCCAAGGCCTGGTCCTGAAGGTGTTTGTGGCCCAGAGGATGGCCCAGAGACAGTTTTGGGACCAAAAGTGTGAAACCTGCCAGGGACAGAGTGGAACAGGCTTATGGGGCTGGGTCCTCCTTTGTGTTCTGGACCAAAATGGGGCTTTTTTGTAGTGTGACTGCTTTGGGTCATGTTAACATTTGTGACAGAAATAAATGGAAGTGCCAGTTTTTCCATGGCAGCCTCACCTTCCACTTGTAATCTTTCAGCAGAATGAGTTTGTGAGGGTCCAAAAACCCCTGGGGCCGGGCTATGCTGAACGTGAAGTATGAGAGAAATAACAGTGGGTCTTGGCAGATTGGCAAGTCTTTAATATATTAAACAAAACATATCTGCTAGAAACATTCTATTCATATAAAAATGCAAAAAAGACCCCTTTAAAGACATTTCTTTGGCATATTTCCCCCCCCCCCCCCCCCCGGATATTGCAGGAAGCTCTGTTGATATGTCGTTCGCTTGTAAACAGACAAAACAAAGTGTAATTAAGAATACAAAGCTTTTTCTCTAATACTGTCACAGTGCAGCAAAGCAATAGAACCATGGGGCATCAGCCAGGCTTGGGGGGGCTGCAGGAGCCACAGCAAGGGTTTAAATTGTGTTAAATACCAGGGACAATGAAACATTTAAGCATCTAAGCTGGGCAGAGAAGCCGAGGCAGGCGGGGGAGCGGCAGGTTAAGCCCAGGGGTGCCCCAGCCCTGCGGGGTGAGGGGTTCTGAGGTGGGACCAAGTCCCACTAAGTGCTTTTTCCTCCCCTGGCTCGTGGCCCCCGCCGGCCCCTCAACCCCTCGGAGGTAGCTACATAATTAAACTGATTTGCACGCAGGGGAAGCTGAGGCAGGGGAGGCTGGAAAGGGCAGAGGAGGCACCAGACTCCCGTCCTGCATTGCTGCAGCCCTCCCCACAGCCTGGCTGTTTTACCTGCCTGCTGGGAAGAAGGGGGGGGACTTGTTTTTCAATGGGAACAGTAAGTGCTTATCCAGGTTCCAACCCTTTGACTGCATCGTGGGAACTGTGTGAGGAAGGTCCCTAATTCCTTGGCATTGTTATCCTGCATTCCCAGGAATGGTCTCCGCTCCCCAGGGAGGTTTCTCTGCCTTCCTAAGAGCAAACCCGAATATTTTCTGGATTAAGGACATGGGCCTGCTCTGGGTTTGTCACACTTCTTGGTTCTTTGGTGCTTTGGCGCAGAGGGTCAGTCCCGGCTCTGCCAGCCCACCCCATTGCGTGGCTTGTGCCTCCGAGGGCCTGGGAGCCTTTCCTGGCCGTGACTTTAGTGTCTGGCATTAAAGCAGTGCAGACAATCGAGGTGATCCTCACCTTGGAGCTGAGGCTCCTCTTACCTTGTGCTTGGCTTTGCAGTATGGCTTTGGCACCGCGCGAGCCCCAGGGCTGAGCGCTGGATAAAACCACTCCAGAGGGAGCAGCTGCCCTCCAGCAGCCGCTTGCTCAGGCTGGGGCTGCGGTGTCTGGACGTAAAGGGCACTTGGGGTGGTCCCTCAGTGGGAATATTGCAGTCGTGGCACGAGCGGGCCCTGGCCCGGTGCCCACCCCCTCCCGGGGAACGCGGGCGGGGAGCGAGGCCCTCGCGCCACTTACGGCTCTGTCTATACATTTATATACATTCAATAATATAGCTTTGAAAAATAGACATTTCCTCTGTATAATATAAAATAGCATTTAGGATCAGTCTCAAGCGACGCACCGGGGTGATCAGAGCACGGTCGCAACTCCTGCAAGGATTGCCTGGAGTTTCTCCCCCCTCCAGCACCACCGTGGGAAGCTCGGAGCCTCCTTGGGGTGGAGGGAGAACAGGTGGGCCCAGGGTCAGCGGAGCCCCCCGGCTGTGCCGCCCTTCCCTGCTTAGTGCATGTGGTGATTCCTGCAGAGCAGCTCCGGAGGAGATCACCGCAGCCGTCGGTCCTTCTCCGCCCTCACACCGTGGTCTCGCTCTTCCAGAGGCCGGTCTTCATGCCGGCCACGCCGTCGGCGCTGGCCAGGTTGATGTCGTACTTGCTGCCCTTGAGGCCGCCGTTGTGGCTGCCCACGTTCAGGGGGTAGGAGCGGCGCTTGGCCTCCCTGTCGGCGGCGCCGCCCGGCCGCAGGCTGTCCCGGCTGGCGCTCCTCCGGCGACCCTCGGCGAAGTCGGGCGCCCTCCGCCCGCCGTCGCTGCCCTCCGAGGGACTGGCGGCCGCCTCCCCATCCTGGGGCCCCCGCGGCCCCACGCGGCCGCCGCTGGCCGGGCTGGTCCTGCCGCTGGGGTAGCTCTCGGAGTGGCTGTTGTGGAGGCTCCCGCTCTCGCTGGACGGCTGCTCCGAGGGGCCCCGCAGCATTTTCAAGCGGTGGTGCTTCCCATCCCGTCCCGGCTTAGTTCTGCCCCGGTGGCTCCTGCGGCCGTGGAGGTTGCTGGCGTGCCTGGTGGGTTTCCCGTCGGTGGTGTCCGGCTCCGGGCAGGCGGCTGGGCGGGCGTCCGCCTGGCTCTGGGCGACCTGCAGGTTGGTGATCTTGCAGCGGCCCCTGGCCGAGCCGGCGCTGCTGGGTGAGGAGGAGGAGGAGGCGCCAGAACGAGCTGCCTCTGGGTCGTGGCAGCCGATGAAGACCTGCGAGCCGTCCTCTGGCCCCAGCCCGGGGTGCACGTAGGCCTGCATGGGCAGCGCGTTCCGGTAGGACGGGCAGCAGGAGAACCAGGAGCTGAGCACGTCCCGGCGCCGCAGGCAGTGGTGGACGAAGATGAAGAGCCCCAGCGCCACGGCGGTGACGCCGTAGAGGCAGCTGAAGATGATGTTGAGGTACCAGCGCTGCGACACGGCCATGGCGCCGAACGTCCACAGCGCCACGTACAAGGCGTGGGTGGTCACCAGTGCCCAGAACTGCACCCGCAGGGAGTAGACGCCGTCCCCCTCAGGACAAGGTGGCCCCGAGTTCAGTGTCACCGAGATGGACCCGGAGTCTGTCAGGAGGTCACCGGTGCCCCCCAGCCGTGGCGGTGGCTCCAGTGGCTCCGGGACGTCTTTCCTGCGTAAGGGTCGGCACTGGAGGCTGAGCCCGGTGCAGAGGAAATAAATCCAGGTGACGAGCAGGATGAAAGCCACGGGGACGTAGAAAGCTCCCAGGCTGGGCCGCCACACCAGCCAGCAGCTGTGCGGGACGAGAGGGGCTCTGAGGGGTCATGGCGTGCTCGGCAGCCTTGCCCTGATGGCACAGGCTCTGCAGAGCCATGCTGGTTGCCTGGCTGATTTTTTTCCCAATGTATGGATAACTCTTGGGGAAAACCTCACTGGCCTTTCCCCATCTTGCCCAGATTCCCAGTTCCCTGCCCCAGCAGAGGGAGGCCACCCATGTGGGGAGGAAGGAATGTCGAGTGGCAACACTTACTATGGGTTGTTGTCATGGTAGTTGTGGATGTTGACGGCCGCCGTGATCCCGCAGATGATGAGGGGGATCCCACCGGCGATCAGGTAGAACCTGCACGGGGAGGGACAGTGTCACTGCAGCCCTCAGGAGAGCACAGGATGGGCTTGCCCAGCAGAACAAGTCCTGCCCCAGCCCCTGGATGTGGGGCAGGAGATGGTCCCGCAGCTCCCCCCAGGCCGGGGTGAGGGGAAGGGGGGTCTGTACCTCAGCATGGGTCTGGGGGCTGGCTGGGACATGTCCCCGTCTGGCTGCCGCGGTGCCTTCCAGGTCACCTCCCTGTAGAGCACTCGCGCTTTCACCGCCATCCAGAGCAGGGTGGAGAGGGAGGAGTAGTGCAAGATGATGCCGACCTGTGGGAGGAGGCCACGGCTGGGGAGAGGGTGCTGCTGACATGGCTGTGTCCCCCCTGTCACCACCCTGTGGCAGCCCACAGCGCTGGGCTCTGCCCGTCCCCTGGCCCGGTACCCACTGCCTGGCACACGATCCGGTACCCGGTGAGGGTGATGCCTCCCGCGAAGACGGCGGCCGTCATGGCGATGTGGAAGCAGAGGTTGAGCAGCATGTGCCAGCCCTTCCGCGGGATGAGGATGGTGCTGGAAGAGCGAGAGGCACAGCCGGTACCTGTGAGCTCCTGCCCATCCCTGAGAGCCACAGATCCTGCATCCAGAGGCCCAGGCCAACAGCCTGTCCCTGGCACGGAGCGTGGGCCAAGGACCAAGACCCAGGAGCCCCTCCAGCTGCCATGGAGACACCCACCCTGGCACAGCCCCCCCAGCCACCTCCGTGGGCACCAGGGCGCTGCCTCACCCGTGGTGGACGATGTAGGTGATGATGGTGGTGAAGAGGCAGAGCAGCAGCACGGCTGTGCAGGTGTACATGGCCGGGTGCAGCACCTCCACGGCGCCTCGCGCCTCGCTGGGGAACCCGCTCAGCTCCTGCGCGGCACGGCACAGCCCGTCACACCCCATGTCACCGCCCCCGCCCCCTGTCCCTGCCCACCTGCCCCGCTGCAGCCCTCAGGCTCCACACCCCACTCGCAGCCCCACCTCAGGCTCCACACCCCACGCGCAGCCCCACCTCAGGCTCCACACCCCACTCGCAGCCCCACCGCTCGCCCACACCCACCATGAGCACGGCCACGTTGCTGAGGTGCCGGCAGTGCAGGGAGGTGACGTTGGGCTCACGGGCAGCCAGCTGGCACCCCTCGGCGCTCCAGCCCCCCATGCCCCCCAGCACCTCGAAGTTCCAGTAGGCGGCCACGGGGTCCGCGCCCTCCCCGGGGTGCCGCAGTGACACGGCCACCGGCTCCGACAGGTTTCCCACTCCGCAGCCGTCTGCAGCAACAGAGAAACCCGGTCAGCAGGACAAGTGACACCCCTCCACCTGCACCCCCAGAGGGCCTGGACATGGGGGACCCTCCCACACATCCCATCTCTCCATGAGAGCCCCAGGGATGGCTCTGCACTGCAGGAACACCCTGTCAACACCCCGAGTAGCCCCACGGAGCTTCATCCCCCAAGGAAAGCACCCCCAGAGCAGCCCAAGCCCCCCAGCACGCCGCCCTTACAGGTCCCGGCGTAGATGACCGGAGTGGCCACGCTGCGGCGTTTGCCATCGTCAGCCAGCCGGGAGGAGTTGCCGGTGCTGCAGAAGAGTTTCCCGTTGCGGAAGACCAGCAGCTGGAGCTTGCAGTCAGTCCCTGGTGCGGCCGGGACCGGGCTGGCAAACAGGCTGGGGGGCAGCTGGATGGAGGCCAGGGCGATGCTGTTCTGCGGGCGCAGGGTCACCGGTGAGCAGGGGCCGACCCCCAGCCCCCCCCGCCCCCGGCGCAGCCGTACCTTGATGTGGAAGCTGGTCAGGGAGACATTGGGGCGCCCCGTGGTGCAGCGCAACCTGAGCTGCTGGTCGGGCACGGGCTCGGCCCCCCGCTCAGCCGGGGGGGCACGTCCTGGTGCAGCCCCGTCCCGCCGCTGGAACGCCACACAGCTCAGCCCCACGTAGCTCTCAGGCTTCACCACGTACGCCTCGAAGGCGATGTTGCGGGAGTTCTGCCGGGCACAGCGCCGTGGGGTGGTCACCAGCCCTGGCCTGGCCAGAGAGACCACTGGCAGAGCCAGAGAGACCCCTGGCACAGGCAGAGACCCGACACCAGCCACCCAAGTTTTCCCTCTCTGGCCCCCCGCTCACCACTGCCATGTGCTGGGAGTTGCTGCCCAGCGTGTGGGCTGCGATCCTCTCCAGGGAGCGGACGATGCTGGTGCAGGCCTTCTCCTCCTTCTGCGACATCCACAGGATGTGGTCATCCACCAGCATGATGTTGCTGGCCATCTCCACGATCACGTCCGTCAGCTGCAGGGACAGTGAGCAAAGAGCTGACGCCGTCCCCCGGGGGAAACACCCCAGTTCACGCTTTTCCACCCCAAAACCACCAGGCAGCACTGAGGCAAGCAGGGGACAACCACAGCACTCGCTACCTGCTTGATCTGGTCCACGTAGCCGATAAACTTCTCTATCATCTGGGCCACGTAGAGGACATCGACCATGTCCGAGAAGTTGGCTGCCTCGGCCGTGTAGACGCGGAGCTGGTGCGCCAGGGTCAGGGCGTTGGAGGCGTTGATGGGCATCTGCGGCGCGGCACGGCCACGGCGGGGGCACGGTCACCGGCTGTGCCGCCCCCTGCCCCGGCCCAGCCAAGCCCCCCGGGGTTCCCCCCTGCTCACCAGCACGAAGGTGTAGAGCACGCGGGTGATGTCGTTGGTGTAGAGGCAGTGGGAGTAGTCGCCGTCCTCCCAGCGCCCGGCGCGGTCGCAGCGCCGCCACGCCTGCTTCTCGCCCGCCGCGCCCGCGCCCGCCGGCCCCGCGGCGAACGGGTGCTGCAGGCAGGGCTGGTAGGCCGTGATACCCGCCAGGGTGCGGGGCCACCTGCGGGCACCCATACGCGGTGACCGCGGGGCACCCGCCACCGGCATCTCTCCCCGTGCACGCCCTGCCCGGCACTGCCTGCCAGCACTGCAGCCCCAAACATCCCCCACCTCTCCCGGGCTCTGGGGGGGCTGAGGGTGATGCTCCCCAAAAATCCCCCCACCCCCTCCAATCCCATGTCCCGCTCAGCCCTGGCAGCGCAGGGGGAGGCAGCAGGGGCCGGGGGGGCACCGCTAATTTGAGCCACATTGAGTGTGCCAGTAATTTATATTCCGTAAGGGCCCCGCCGGGGTTACAGCGGGCGCCCGGAGCCTTTCGTCTCGTGCCAGAGAAATTCCAACACCTCTGCCGCTGGAGCCAGGCTGCGCCGCCGGCACGGGAAGCCCTTCAAAAGCCTGTGCGCGCGCTCCCCGCGGCCGCTAATCGCTACCAGACGCCCGGTCACCTGCGGCCAGGCGAGGGGAGGCGAGGCGAGCCCCCCGCCCGCCCACGCGCCACGCGGCACGGACTGTGTGTGTCCCCACCTGAAGTCCCCGCGGTTGTTGGTGACCCGCTCGGCAGGGCAGTAGGACGCGGAGGTCTCCAGCACCACGATCTCCACCTTCTTGCTGACGTTGCCCTGGGAGGTGGAGACAGCGCATTCCCACTCGCCGTTGGCGGAGACGTGGATGTTGGAGAGGATGAGCTCGCTGCGGGCAGAGGGGACGGGCTGGCACGGCGGGGCTGCCCCACGGCCTGCAGCAGTGGTCCCCCAGGCCTGGGGGCTCCGGGTCACACACCATGAAGCACAGGAGGTGCCCACAATTGGCAGCCCTCCTGTGGCACTCAGTACCTGCAAACCCGCAAGTCCTGCGGCCACGAGTGTCCGTCCCCATCCCCATCTCCATGTGGTCTGTATTGCCACCCCCAACTCATCTCCACCCCATTCCCCATTCCCATCCCGGTCCCCACCCCTGACCTGGTGATGAAGGTGCAGTCATGGATGAGACTCTCCTCCACGATGATGCCCGTCCTCTCGTCCTCCTCCACGGGCTCGTGGTTGTGGAACCACCGGATCTGGGTGCTGTTGTCCAGGTACGTGGCCGTGCACTGGAAGGGCAGCCGGTCCCCCTGGAACACCACCTGGCGCAGCGACGGGATGAGGTGGTGGGTGTGCAGCTCCGGGGCGCCCGCTGCGGGGGACACAGGTGAGCCCCGTGCCACCACCGCCACCACCACCGCCCCCGCCCCGGCCCCGGCTCACCGCAGCGGAGCTGCCCGTCCCGCGCCCCGCGCAGGGCCACGCCGCGCAGCTGCCGGGGGAACGCGCACGCCGTCCGCTCCGAGATCTGCGCCGAGCGGTCGCGGGCCCAGGGCAGCACCCAGCGCAGGTTGCAGTCGCACGTCAGGTACTCGGTGGCGAAGTCCCTGCAAGGGATGGTGTCACAGGGTCACCAAGACCCTGGGCAGGGCCCCTCCCCATCCCCCCGGTGCCGAAATCCTGGGGCACAAACTCACACGACTTTCAGGGAGGGGAGCTCGTCGAAGACGCCGGGCGGGAGGCTGGAGAAGATGTTCCCGGACATGTTCCTGCGGGACAGGAGAGAAAGGTGGCATGCAGGGGACCCCCTGGGAGGGGGGACACCTCCCTGCCCCCTCGCTGTGCCCACACACTGCCCCCCTCCCAGGAGCCAGCAGGGAGGGCTGGCCAGGATGTCCCCAGGGAGCTGCTTACAGCCGGAGGAGGTTGGGGAGCCCCTGGAAGACGCTGGCGCTCAAGCAGCCGATGCGGTTGTTGGAGAGATCCCTGCAAGGCAAGCGGAGGGACCTTCAGGGCTGGGGACACCCCGCTGTCCCCACTGTCCCCAGGGCCAGCCCCACGTGCTCTTGGGGGGTGTGCTGGCACTTACAGCCGCTTCAGCTCGGCGAGCCCCAGGAAGGCGCCCGGTTGGACTGTGCTGATCAGGTTGTTCTTCAGGTCCCTGTGGGGAGACAGACACAGACCTCAAGGTGTGACACAGGGAGCCCTGTCCCCAGGAGACACAATGCAGGGCACAAGTGCACCTGACCCACTCCCAGCCCCCATCTCCTTCCTCAGCCCCCCCACCACTGCAAACACCCTACAAGAGCCTTATTAGCAGTTTTCCATCCCATTTCCCTCTCGTTATCTCTCTGAAGGGCACAGGGAAGGCACAAGGCTCCTCGCTGCTCCCAGGGGGATGCCAGCCCCTCAGCACACTCTGAGTGCACCAAGGAGCATCACATGCCCGTGCACACTGGCACTGGTTGCTGGCATTGTCCCCACATTGCTCCCAGAACAGCCGTATCCCAGGGGGTTATCTCCTGCATGTGGGATAAGAGCACGGCCCTGGATGGGCTCTGTGGCCCTCGGGAAGCTCATTTGGGTGATTAGCCTGATTGCAGGCACGTATCTAATCAGGGGCTGGCCAGGCTGCCAGCAGGGCTGGGAGCACCGGTGGCATCAGCCGCTCCATCCAGCCCCTGGGACCCGAGGCAACTCCTGCCGAGCACGGGCACTGGCTGGGAGAGGAAATGGGATCCATATGGATCTGTGTTTATTTATAGCAGTCTCCACGGAGCTCGGCGCTGGGTCTCCCGCTGCTCCGCCTGCGGCCCTGGGGACACCCCATCAACCACAGCCCCACTGCAGGGCCGGGAGCCAGTGCCTGGGACGAGGAGCAGTGCAAACCCTTCCAGCAGAGCCAGGGTGCAGGGGGGTGGGAGTCCAGCCAGAGAGACATGAGGGGCCCCGCAGGGAGAGGAAACGCAGCCGGCATCATCCCGGCCCCGCTCGGCTGATGCAACGGCTCCGCACACGCCTGCCTTCCCCGGCGTCCCCCAGGAGCAAATGCATGTCCCGGGAGCTCCCACGGCCAGCAGTGCAGGCAGGTGTGCAGGCAGGTGTGCACAGGTGAGCGCTGGTGCTGAAGGGACAGCTCCACTCACCTGTACCGCCACCACCCGCCGCACCGACAACAGTCACACCGCGAACACCCGCCCTGCAAACACCCACCTGTACCCACCAAGGGACACCTGAGCACCTGCCTCAGCCCAGCTCAGACATGGACAGATGAGGGGACAGAGTCTCTCCCTGTCCCTCCTGTCACCCGCCAAGCCCCCTCGCAGCCCCCGGGGGCCGTTCCCAAGCGGGGTTGTGCTAATGAGGGCGCGCCACACATACCGGCCCTGCTCAGACTCATTAATCTCATTACGCCGCTACAAATCACTGGAGATGCCAAGCCCGGAGGGGCAGTGGTCCATGGGGGCACCGCTGAGACCCTGGGAATTGGTTCTCCCCATCATGCTGGGACTCTGAAGAGCCCACGGTGGGTACCCAGGGTGAGCGGGGGCCCTGCGAGCCCCAAGATGAGAAGCAAGGGGTTCTGGAGCCCCCACTGCATCGCCACCACACCAGCCGGACTCCCCACGGGGCACGTCTGCGCTGTGGCCCCAAACCGACCTGATGAAAACAATTACAGCTCCTGTCGAGGTCAGTCAGGCGCTGCACAGGGAGATGCGGCCGGCCCGGGGTGGGGGAGTGCTGCCCACCCTCCCTGGACCCCTCTAACCCCGTGGGGAGCAGCAGGTGACCTGGGGTGGCTGCTCTCCCAGGGCACAGAGACCTTTATGGGGGCTGCAGAGCCGGGGTCGTCCCCAGCAGCGGCCTCACTGCTCCCCAGCATTCATGAGAGCTCGGGGCCAGGGGCAGGCACTGACCCCAGGCTGGACCAAGGCTGGGGAGGACTCAGCCGTGTGGGATGGTGCCCACAAGGTGGCTGCTTCCCGTTCACCCCAAAACGGGTGCCACGGGGATTTCCGCGGGAGCCCGCGGGGCGCAGGAATGCGCGAGACCTTGGCGGGGAACAAAACGCCCTCAGTGCCGGTCCCCGCGCCTGCATACCTACAGATCAAACCCATATGGGGGCCATAAATCTCCCCTCCTCGCAGCTCCCTCCATAGAGATGCCTTTCACGGAGAGATAAGAAAGTTGACTTTGTTCGGGGGGACAATGTCGCTTTTCATACCGGCCCTCACGGAGCGCGGCCCCCCCAGTGCCTCCTGCCCCGCCGCAGCTCCCGGGATCCCTGGGATGCCCATGGGTGCCCCGGTGCCCGTCCTGCCGCAGCTCCCAGGAGTGACACCAGGATGTGGGTGGTGATGCCAGAGCCCACTCCATTCACACCCTGTGGAAGCCCAGCCTGCACCCTGCTGCCCCCCACCCTCCCGCCCGCCGGGCACTTACAGCTTCTCCAGAGCCCACAGCCCGAAGAAAGAGCCGTTCTCCAGCACCGTGATCTTGTTGTTGCTCAGCAGCCTGTGGGAAGAGCAAAGGGAGAGAGGCAGCCTCGTTACCTGACCTGGCAGCCATGGACTCCCTGCCATGCCCCGGTGACCTGGAGGGGAGTGGGAACAGCCAGACCCCCCCTGTGAGACGCCACAGCCCCAACTATGCCACTGGAACAAGGGGAACTCTCAGGGACGGGCTTGCACCGCCAGGTGGGACCATGGGATGCTCTGCATGGTCCTCGTGCCATGGAACACCACGTGGCCCCCGTGCCAGCTCTTGGGGCATCACCTGGGAGCTGCATGGGTGGGCGACGACCCCCACCCCAGCAGCCAGGGCACCCCGAGGACCTGCAGCCAGGAGGGGACCCCCCAGCTCCTGCTGGTCACAGCTTTGAGGCCACCCCAGGAGCCTCCCAGCACTGAGATTCTATTCCAAAATAAACAGCCTTGCTGGCCAAAGGGGCCCTTGTGGGGAGACGGGAGCGGATGGAGGGCACCAGCACCCGACGATTAAGCCAGGACCTCATTAAAGCTGCAATTAGCAGAGCCAGACGCGGCTCTCGGGGACCGGCGGTGCCTCCCGGGCGGCCGCGTGGGCACCGGCGACGCCAGCGCCGGCAAATGTGACCCGGAGGCAGAGCCGGGGCAGGCGGTGGCCGGGGCCGGGAGGGCACCCGGGAGCCTCTGCCGGAGGGAGGCGAGGGGAAAAAAGGGCTCATTGAGGGCCGGGCCGGGCCGGGGCTGTTTACACACGGCGGGCCCGACGGCCGCGCTGAATGGGGGCTGTGTGTGCGAGCCCGTCCCGCCCCGACGCGCAGCCACGCTCGGCTCACGGGCACGACCAGAGCCGGCTCGGGAAGGGGCTGCCAACCCCCCCGGGCCGGCTGGGAGGGAAGGGCCGGGGTCCGGCAGCGCGGCCCCCGCATCCTGTGCTAATGAGGAGCCGCCACCGGGCACCGGCGCGGCCGCGGGACCCTCGGCCCGGCCGGCGGGGAGCGGAAGCGTCCGGCAGCCCCGACGGCCGCAAATTGCTTCCACCCCGCGGTGGCCGGAGCTGCCGGGGCCGTGTCTGACCCTCTCCTCCCTGCCGGGACCCCTCTGTGCCGGGGCTCGGCTCGCCCCAGCAGCCGGCACGGTGCCGCCTCAGCCCACGACCCTTGGCAGAGCAGGGGGCATCAGGGATGTTTCCAGAGCATCACCACTCCCAGTAAAGCCCCAGCTCTGGGCAGCAGCAGCCCCTCAGCGTGCCGCAACTCCCCGCGGTGTCGGCGGGGGCTGTTGCTCAAGGCCCCAGCGGCTCCAGGAGGTTTTCATTCCAGCGGCAGGAGATTTCACAACCCAAAGCACTGGCTGTGCAGGGGGACACAGCCATGGTCATGCCCCAGTGGGGTGGCCAGAGCAGGGAGGGCCAGAGCACCGGGAAGCTGCACCCCCTGGGAATTCAGCCCCACTGGGAATGCAGCTCTAGGCGGTCCCAGGCCAACTCCTGGGACCATCTGCACCTCTGCCGTTCCACAATTCCCACCTTAAAAGGCAACGCTCCCTCGATCCATCCGAAGGGATCAGCCACCGCTGTGATCCGCAGCCAGGGATGCTCTCCCTGGGGGCCACCTCGGCAAAGCCACCCCTGGAGCCCCTCCAGAACCACCACGGTGTGGGACACCCTGAGCTCCAGGCACTGCCTGAGCTTCCCCAAAGAGAAGATTGCCCAAACCTTTTCTTTCCTGGTGAAACTTTTCCCGGGTAGGGATCCTGGCTCTTCTCTTCCCCGTCCCACAGAAGCCAGCCGGTTCACGCTCCCCTGTTACAACCCACATCCTCCAACACGGGTTTGTTTTGTTTTCTCTGGTTTCATGGATGTTATGTTCCCAATTGTTTTCTGTTCATTTTTGGGGTTTTTTTGTTGTTGTTGTTTGGTTTTTTTTTTCCCAGGAAGTTCCCATCAGGCTCCACGGAACTTTCCATTCCCGCGTGTCTGCAGGCAGCAGAGCCCTGTGCAGGCCCTCACCACTGTCCCTGACAGGAGATTAACTGAGAAACCCCAAAATACTACAGGATCAGTGCATCTGCCAGGCCACCCTGACCCAACACACCGGGGTCACAGGCCAGCAGCCCCCGAGCCACACTGGGGACCCCACACAGGGACCCAGCCCTCGGCACACAGGGACGAAACCAGACCCCCCAGCTGGATTCCAAACCCCAGGAGCTGCCCCAGGGAGGAGGGATCACCTGAGGGGGAAAGGGGATGGGGGGCTGGACACCAACCCCACTGTCCCCCTGCTCGCTGTGGCTGAGCTGCTGTCGGTGGGCTGGGAGCACCGGGCAGGGGCTGCAGCGGCTCCTGGATGCTTGCTGAGGTCTAGGGGTGCAGAGGGGACATGGTGCCCTCATGTCCCACCCATCTGCAGGCTTGGCAGGCCGTGGAAGCACAGCTGTGGCTTCCAGAGCAGCCCCCTTGGCTCCAGTCCAGGCTGGGACCCCTCAGCTCAGCGAGAGGAACCCCCAGGCCGGGCTCGGAGCGATGTGCTGGGTGGGAAGGGTCGGGGACCCCCCCAGCCCTCAGTGCCCGACCATCCCCACGCCTCTCCCACCCTAAATGGCGCCTTCATCCTGCCCAGTGCCCTGAGACCCTCGGAGCGTGGGCGGGCAGGGGGCTCCCGTCGGGGACAGCCCCGCCACGGGGACAATAATCAGCTAATTGAGCGGTGGCTGGAAAAGTCCCCCCGGACAATGCGGGGATTAAGGACCAGAGCGTGGAGTCAAACGGAAACGATGGGGGATGCGTGGTGGGGACGGCGGGAAGAGCCCCGAGGAGCATCCTCCCATCCCGGGGGATCCAGCCCTGCAAGGGGTGCAGCATCCACACTCCAACCCCGCCCTGTGCCAGGGCTGGGGGGAGATGGAGCCCACGAGGCTGCCGGCAGGGAGATACAGACCCCTTCTTCTCCCCTTTTTTTTTTTTTTTTTTCCATCTCAAAAAAGAGGAGCCAAAAGCGAAAAAAACAAGATTGTTTTTTCAAGCGTGCTGGAATCCACTTGGATAAATAACAGCTCCAGAAACTGGGCTGCTGAAACAATAAACTTCCTCTGGACCCAACCAAAAAAGGACGCGGGGAGACGGTGGCTCCCCAGCCCGGGCAGGGAAGGCAGAGGCGAGGAGGTTCCTGGGGGGGCCGCGGTGGGGGCGGGGACCCGGCCCGGCTCTGCTCTCCAAGTGCATTAATTCAAAGCATATGCCGGGAGCAGATACGGCGCAGGCTGCGCCCCGAGCAGGGCTCGCTGCTCTGCAGAGGGATTTGGGGAAGAGAAAAGAGGGGCCCAGGGGCTGGTGAGAGGTGCCGAGGGCTCTGGCAGCAGGGAGGGCTCTGGGGGCTGCAGCATCCCAGGGGACCCTGTAGCATCCCAGGGGGGACCCCACAGCTCCCAGGGGAACCCCACAACATCCTAGGAGGGACCTTTCATCCCAGGGGGGACCCTGCAGGACCCCACAGCTCCCAGCCCAATGGGACTGGAGACCCCCCTGCCCTGGCTGGGACCCCCCCTCCCCACTTTGTTTGGGGGCTCGGGGGCTGTTCCCTGCCCCGCCCATGCCCGGGCGTTGCCTCCAGCCTCACGTCACGCCGGGCTATTTCGGATGGTGAAAATTATTGTTCCAACCCTCGGCTTTTGTTAGCACAGGAAAAACAGGCCCCGGAGAGAGGGTGAAGCCTCCAGAGCCGGCATGGGCTGGGATGCTCCGACGCACGGGGCAGCACCACGACCCTCAGCCCCTGGAAAACCCAAACCTGATGGAGCTGCAGCCCAATAAACAACAAATAAAAAGCTGAGGAAGGTTTCAGAAAGGAACCATCTGCAGGGCCCAGGATAGAGCGGCCTTGGAGCGGGGAGTTCAAGTAGAACTGGAAATTGGTCATAAGTCAAAGCCCTCTATTCCCTGCAGACAATCTGTAATTTCAGTGCAATCAAGCTGTGCACATAAATGAGGCCTGTGCTGGGATTCCACATCTGGAAGAGGTTTGGGCTCCCGCCCGTGTGACAGCGGGGCTGGCCACGGCTCTCCAGCTCTCGTTAGGATATGGCGCTTTTTCCACCGGGCGATTAGCACAGGGGTCAGCTGGGGGGGATTAAAGCCTTGTTAATCCACAGCACCTCACAGCCAGGAGGGGCGGCCTGAGAGGTCCCAAATCCCCCAGCCCCAACAGGATGTGGGACTGGGGGATTGCCCCAGGCTGCATCGGTGCCAGCCCTGCCAAAACAGCCGGGAGAGCTCCTCAAGGCCGCGTCAGAACAGGGTGACACCGAGACTGGCACCCCTCCTTCCTCCCTGCAGGGAGCTGGGGGCAGGAATTGAGCTCTGGGTACAAAGCAGGGCGAGTGTCAGAGAGCACACACTGTGTGTGTAACGTCTGCTGGGGCTGCAGGGGGGTTTGTGAGCATCACCCCGCTCACCAGACCCCACGTGTCCCCATGCTGGCACCTGGTGATCCCTGTGAGGAGCCAGAGGAAGAGGAAGGAGGCACGGCTCTGCTTGGAAGACCTTCCCCATCAGGCACCAACATGTGTCTGGGGCACTGGGACCGAGGCCGAGCCCTGCAGTGGCTGCAGGTCCCCAGAACGCACTTTGTCCCCTCATCCTTTGTCCCCTGTCCCTGCTGCGATGCCAGCAAGTGTTTCTCAGGCACGGGGTGGGGGGTAAATGCGCAGCAGCTGCCGAGGAGGCAGAACAAGATTCCTCAGCACAGGCCTAATAATTAAAGATAAATAAAGAAGTAAAGCGAGAGTGTGGGAAAAAGCAGAAGGAGGGACCCACAGGGTGACAGACAGACCTCCTCCAGCCACCCGACCTCCTCTGGCCGCCCGCCTGTCCCCAGCCACTGCCCAGACAGCCAGGCCAGATCCCTCCTGCACTGCTGGGAAGAGCCTCCCCCCTGCACTCCTGCACTGCTGCCTCCAGGCTGGACTGGGTGAGGCCCGGAACACGGCTCTGCTTTGAAGCACTGCTGCCCCAAACACGCCCTAGCTTTCCTGCAGCTGGGGCAAGAGTGATGCTGAGCCCCCCAGGGCACAGCTGGCACCCAGCACCCCATGGCACGCGTAGGGGCCCTGCCCAGACCCGGCTCACCCGCAGGATTCAAGGCTTGGCTGTCCCCAGCGGGGCGTCCCCAAGGCACGTGCAGCCCTTGCCACGTGCCCGGGCCCCTCCGCTCCCTGCCCGCACCCCAGTGGCTCCAGGAGACGCTCCCAAAGTCGGAGCCTCTGGTTTTGATTGTTCCATCTGGAAAGGGTTTGGAATAAATCATGTTTACTGCGCGAGAGCAGAGCCAGGGTCACCGCATATTTGTAGGTTTCTGCCTACGCCTGTAGGTTTCATGTCACGTTTTAGTGGGATCATGTAATGCCCTAAATGCTTCTGCACGGTCATCCCGGCCCCTCCGAGCGAGCCAGCCCAGCACAGGCGGCACAACCCCTCTGCCCCGCTGGGAACAGCTGGAGAGGGCACTGGAGAAGGCTTGGGACGGGTCCCCTTCCCCAAATACAAACTGACAAGGGACTAAACATCCCCACGGGTGTTTGCAAGGGGATGATGCACAAGGGAGGGCTGTAGGAGCAGAGCAGAGCTCAGGAGTGTGACAAGAGAGCCCAGCTGTCACCTGTCCACAGCCACCCAGCGTCCCCCTGCTACTCCAACATGACTTTATGCTTTTAATGGGACTGTCACACTCAGCCCCTGCTCGTGGCACCCCCCTGCAGCACCCGTGTGTTCCACAGCCTCATTCCACGTGGGGACGGTGGCGTCAGCGGGGTCCCCTTCGCTGCCACCATCGCCCCAAAGCGAGGACCCACAGGGAACCAGAGCAACGGCAACGCGACCCAGCGGGTTCCAGCCCGTGGGGATGGACGGCACCAGCAGCACGGCAGCCCCCAACCCTCCAGTGTCCAACCAAACCTGCCCAAAGAGCAGAAAGTGGGAGCCACGAGCACGGGCAGCGTGGGCTGCCCATCATGAGGGGATGACACCCTGGCTGAAGGCGACATTCCCCTCAGCTGCAGCGCTGCCAGCCCAGCCTCCCATCCAGATTTTAATTCAAACATCTCCTCCGGAGTTATAAATAAACCCTGCAGCGAGCAGAGCGCGGCTGCCAGCGCCGGCTGAACCCCAGCCCCCGGCAAGGGGGGCGTGAGGAAGAGGAGCCTTTAGGGACCGAGCAGCAGCTTTAGACCCTTTGCACAAACCCCTCAAACCCATTAACCGCTCCTGGTCGCTTCTCAGTAAATATTTCCAGGGAGAACAACCACTTTCAAACAAAAACATCCTCCCCAGCGCTCAGAAACGCCACGGAGGGAAGCGGGAGAAGGAGCCCGTTTCCTGGATTTCCAGCTCGCGTCCACACCAGCCCCGCGCCGTGGGGACAGCGGGGTCCGGGGGAGACGCCGCGGGGGCAAGGGGGGATGCCCGGGGCGGTCCTGCTCGCGGTACTCACAGCGTGACGGTGCCGTCGGGCAGCAGTCGCGGCTCGGGCGGCGCGGGGAGCCCCCCGCCGCTGCAGACCACCCTCCTCCGGGGCGCGCCGGGGCCGCCGCCCGCCTTGGCCCGCTCGGCCGAGCACTTGCAGCCCAGGCTGAGCGCGGGGCAGCTCCGTGCCCCGGCCCCGGGGCCGCTCAGCGCCGCCGCCAGCAGCACCAGCGCCGCCGCCCGCATGGCCCCGGCCCCGGGCCGCGGGAACGGGCTCCGGCTCCGCGCCCGCCGCCGCCCCGCTCCCCGGGGCGGCTCCGGCGGCACCGCCTCCCCCGCTCGCCGCGCTCCGCCGCCGGCCCTGGCACCTCCCCCGGCCCGCCCCGGCCCGCCCCGGCCCCGCCGAGGGCAGCGGCTCGGCCCCCCCGGCCGTGCGGGAGCGAGGGGGACCCCCGCGGGCTGGGGATGGCACCCCCGTCCAGGAGCGATGGACCCGCACTCCCCTGGAGGGCTCCGGCTGCCCCCACAGGGTGCCGCGTCCGGGGTGGTGACACGCACGTGGCCCCACCGGATCTCCTGCGCACGGGGGGCTCTCTGGTCTCCCACTGCCTGCGGGACCCCGCGCACGAACTCACACAGTTCACCCCATGGTCACATCGCTCCATCCCCTCCGGGCCTCCGCTCCGCGTTTAACACTCTTCCCCATGAAGTTCCCTGTTGGCTTCGCTGCTTTTCACACCAAGTTCAATATTTTTCTTCCCACTCTCCCCCCCCTCCCACGTCCCCGCTGCCTCTTGCCTGCCCCCAGCCCTCTGGTCCCCCCGGGCTCGGCTTCTGCGAGGCCACGGCTCACTGCAGCGCCAAATCAAAAGGGATCAAAAGCCGGCAATGAAGTGTGCGGGACCCCGTGCCAGGGAGCAGAGGGAGAGGGTCATGGAAGGACGACAAGATGATGCTGGAAATGCGGTTTCTCTCCAGCACCAATCGTTCCTGGAGGGGAAAAGAAATTTACTCCTCTCTCCAAATAAATACAGCTCGCCGTGGCGGTGGGCGTTGGGAAGTGGGGATTCTCCTCAGCTCACACTCCAGGCTGTTCCCACACGAGCTCTTGGCTGGCACCACAAGCAGCTTGGTGCCTGCAGAGCTCGCTGCCTCCAGGCAGGCAGGGACAAGGACTGTGACCCTCCCTCCCTGACCCTGGGGGTCAGCAGTAGGACCTCAGAGCCCTGGAGCCCGGTGTCATCCCAGCAATAAAGAAAGACCATTGGGTGTTCCTCATTTTTCCGTCCTTGTGAGTTTTATTTTCCCTTTTTTCCACTGAGCAGAATTTTCCCTGCAGGAATCCCCCTCCCGTGCTCAGGGCTGCAGGATACCAGTCCCAGATCCTGCAGCTGAAGCTGGAAGAGCAACAGGAAACCACTTGCATCCAGTATCCGCTCCGAGATCCTGCGAGCATCGGCACAGCATGGAACCCTCCCAAACCCCCGGACGGTGAGAGGTGCCTCCTGCTCTCAGCAAGAGTGGGCTTCCCTCCTTCTCCAGAATTTCAATCTCCATTAAAATTCCCTGCAAGAACAGTGAGAACCTTGTCCAAACTAGGACGTGTGGAATACCTGGCCCCAGCCTCTCTTCGAGGAGAGGAGCTCAAGCAACACTTCCCACATGCTTCGAGCCTGATGGAGTTTGGGCTCTTTCAACTGCTTCCAAGCCCCTGTCTGTGCTTTCCCAGCCCCGACCCCTCCTGATGCCTCTGGCCCAGGAGACAAAGCCTCCCGTTTGAAACCCCATCACCACAGACGTGCCGGTGCCAGATGCCAAATCCCCGTGTCCCTCGCTCCCTCTCAAAGGTAAAAAGCCTCCTTAAGTACTGCGGGCCCAGGGAAAGACAACAAGCATGAGACTCTCTTAATTCCTTTCACTGGGATCCAATAAAAACCTTGGCAGTGGCCGTCCTTCCTGCCGGAAAGCCGATATCCCAGAAATAAACACACTTTCCACTTTGAAGGGCTGCGGCGGGATCCGCCTGGGCCCGGATCCGAACTGCTCCCGCCACCCCGCACTCCCACCTGCCCACAGCCCCCGGCTGCAGCGGGGAACTGACCCACAGCTCCTGATCTCTGCTGCTCCACCACCAGCACCTCCCCGAGGATGAGGATGGCCATGGGTGGCCGGTGCATCCCGGGTCACCTCGGGGGAGTGCTGGGAATCCTGGGGCCATGCCTTGCTCCAGAGGGGACGGCGCCTGCGCCACCGGCCGCTGGAAGTCATGAGGGAGGAGGAGTCCCCCCTTCTGCTGGATGTGTCCCTCCAAGGCAAATATTGACAGTGACAGTGCTGAGCGCTGCTGCTGCCCCAGCCCCGCCGGGGGCTCTGAGGGATGGAAATAAAGCCGGGGCCGTGGGGGCCGAGGCTCTGCGCGGTTCATTAAGAGCCGGGGAGCCTTTCATCTCCAGCCCGCTGGCTCCACTCCAGTGACCAGCAGTTCCCATCTGCGGGGTGACCTCCGTGGAGGGAGTGGGTGGTCTCTGCCCGCTCCCCTGGACAGGTGTCTGGCCTCACTGACCCCGCAGCTCCACACCCTCCTGCCTCGGGCTCCAGGTGGGCTCCCTGAGGAGGTGCCCGTGGGCTGCTCCGGCTCTGGGGAGGCTCGGACACGTGGGGAGCACGGCACAGCTCTCAGCCATGAGGAAAACATCACTTGGAAGCTCCACGGGTGAGAGAAGCGGCTGCAGAGGAAGGAGCAGACGCTCTCGCTGCTGTCCCTCCTCTCCAGTGCCTTGTCCAGCCCAGCACCGGCTGTTCCAGCCCAGCACCCAGCCTGCTCCCCACAGGAGCACGGGCCAGGCCAGCCTGGGTGCAGGGGAGAGGTGTCCCGTGGCAGAGAGAGCCCCAGGGCCAGCGAGAGGCCCTGCTGTGCCACAGCCTCATCAGGAGGCCACCAGCAGAGCTGAACGTTTCAGCAGGCAATGAGCAGGTTGAGCAGCAACCCAGAAGACCACACAGTTTCCTGAGCCAGTCTGCTCCTAAAATACCACAGTGATGAGCCAGAGTTCCACAGCAAGGACATCAGGACAAGGCTTGTTGTGCCCCACAGCCACCCTAGTGCTCTCACCTCCCAGTTTAAACCATTCACCGCTTCTTTAAGCTTGGCTAAAGCCCAGTCCCAGCTCGGGAAATGAGATACACAAAATGCTTGGGAGAGGAAAAGCCAGAGGGGAGGTAAGCCACAACAGAAGAGAATTCCCAGTGTAAGCCACCCCTGCCCCGTGCCCAAATAAACGGTGGCTGTGCAGCCCCAGAGGCTTCTGCTGTGCAGAAATTTGCCAACACGAGGGTCCCGGTGAGGGCGCGGTGCTGAAATTCCGGGAGGAGAGAGGAGGAGGAAGAGGAAGGGCCTCGCTCCGGCCATCAGGTGGGAACAAGGTGGTTTTGGGACTCGCTGTTGACCTGTCCCGGCCCCGTGACAGCACCGCCACCCAGAGGCTGCTCCGAGGAAGCTCGCGACATCGCCCGGCTCGGGTTTGACCCTTCAGATCAAAAATCACTTTGCTTTCTTTGCCAGCTCTGTCTCAGCTGCCTTTCAACCACCCTCCTCCCAGCTCCAACAGCAGCTCCAGGCTGGGGAAGCAGCTCCAAGACCGGCTCAGGCCATTTATTCACCACGCTGGAACATAAAAATAACATCTTTAATAGCTCTGGAGTTGGCACAGATGGTATTAAAACTCATCACTTTTTATTACTAGACTATGAAACCACACACGGTGCAGCGCAGGGAGACCCCACGCTGCTTCTAAACCACAGAGCTACAACAGGTTGGTGTTGGAGGTGACTCTTCATTTACATTCAGCGTTTATAGAGTGAAACCAACAGCGAGATTGAACCACACGCACACAGAGCAAAGCCTGGGGAGGATGTTTCTGCTGGCAGCCGAGGCCTCCTCCTCTTAGCAGCCACAAAAGCCCAAAAATTAGCTGAAAAACGGGTTGTGAGACTGGCCAAACAGCACAGGGCAACGGGAGCTTCTGCTCACACCTGAAGGGAAGTCACTGCAGTGACAGTCCCATTTCCCTCTTCCAGGAGCAGGGAAGGCTGGACCAGCACTTAGGATGTTAAGACACGGCTCTCTCAGTGGCCAAAGAATTTTTTTTCAGGAACCCAGAATGCAGTGGGACAATAACACTGCCCTTTCTGAAGTACTTCTCCCAAGAGAGCCTCCCTCCTGCCCTGAGCCAAGCATGTTATCCTCTCACAGGTGTGGAGGGGTGGGACTCACCCTGGAAAGCAACAGCAAGCTGGTGGCAGAGCAGGGACATGGCAGAAGTCCCTTTCTGACCAAAAAAATAGCATCAAAACTACTAGGCAGGATGAAAATAATTCCCAGCAACAGAGGAGGGGAAAGGAAGGGAAGGGGGAAAAGCATTCCAGATCTGGGCAGACGTGGAGCCATGAAAAAAGTGAGTGTCAGCCTGAAAATGACAGAATTGAGCCCAAAAGACACTCCCACACTCATGACGTGCAGCCAAAACATCACACCACGAACTCACGGTGGCAGCTGAGCTCCTCACAGCCCCCTGTGCCTGCCACTCCCCTGTTTCCACAGCCATGGTCTCTCCAGTGTCACAGCATGGCCCTTTCCCAGCGCCCCCATAACCATCCCACCTGCAAAACTCGTAGCTGGGGAAACACTTATGGGTTTCTGGCAAGATCACAACCTGTTTAATGAAAGAATTTAGTCCTCAATGAAAACAATCACCGGCACTGCTGCAGGTCACACCCACCTCGCTCAGCAGCAACTCCAGCCTGACAAACGCTTGTTTGTCCAACCCAGTTACCCCAAAGTCTCTGTCCTGGATGACCCTGAGGAGCCAGGACACCACAGCCACTTGCAGCCACCGATTTCCTTATCACTTGTTGGTTACAAAGATTTCCAGTTTCTAGGGGTACTCTACAATCACGATGGTTATGAGGCATTTCTGGCCTCTGCTCCGAGGAATTCCCCCTCACCACCAGGATCAGGTGCCGACATGGAGGGAGGTAAAATGCATAGTGAGGTCTCCCAGCAGCGAGGTCTCTCCTCTGGAGGGGTTTTGTTTTCCACCTACTGCCCCTGCACTGTCACAGCCTCCGTCTGGCCTTTGCTTCCAGCGGGGGCCTTGCCCCCGGCGGCTTTGTTGGAATAATCCCGCTCTCCAAAGATGGTGCTCCCAATCCTGACGTTTGTGGATCCAACCTCTATCTGGAAGAGACAAGAGAGGAGGAGGTCAGGGCAGGGGTGCCACCACCCCTGTGACCAGCAGGGCTGTTTTTCACGGACCAGCACTGTCGGGATCTCCGTGCAAGAGGCCGGTTTGGGTGGAATTTGGGGTGCAGGTCTGCCTGCTCCCCTCGGGAAGGGCGGCAGGAGGAACACACTCACTGCATGCTGGAAGTCCGTGGACATGCCCATGCTCAGCTCCACCTTCTCCACGGGGAGATTCAGCTTCTCACACACCTCCTGCCGCAGGGACAGCAGCATCTGGAGCGAGGGGGAGAAATGCTCTGCAGAAAGGAGCCTCACACCTGCACTGACGCTGCTGCTGAGGGCTCTGCACTGCTCTGAGCGGGGTGTTTCCACAGTCTTACAGCCTGACTCCTACTGGTTTCACTGGGACAGACAAACTGGAACGGGAGACCAGCCCATAGTGACGTTTTCTCCTAGAAAACCTTACCTGGAAGTCAGGATTTGGGCCCTTGCTGAGGTCGTGCCCGATGCTGCCGATCGTCATCAGCCCCACAAATTCCAGGCTGGGGCACTTGTTGATCACGTGCTCCACGGCAGCCGTGGTGTCTGCAGGGGGAAGGCCGTGCTTACCTGGGAAAAAACAGGGAGATCTGTGCCCAGCTCTGCCAGGGAAACGCTCTGAGAGCACGGACCAGCCCATCCTGTTCAGAGGAGCTGAACAGGAGCTGCACATCGTCAGAAAGGGCCACTTACTGTCCTCCCCACTCGTGTTAACTTGCACCATGACCTTCAGCTTCTGGGATGTCCCTTTTTTCTGCCACGAGCTGTTGACTTTGTCTGCCAGTTTCACAGAATCCACTGTTTCCAACATGAACAGGTTTGGGACAGCTGGGGAGAAAACACAGGCTGAGGGAATTCTGCTGGCACGAGACGGGGGAGAAACTTTTCCCAATATCCAGCCTAAACCTCCCCTGACACATCTGAACACTGGGAGACTGTTGCCCACACAGAATCAATCAGGATTTACCAATCAGCTTGTTGACATTGTTTTTCTGCAGGTGGCCAATAAAATGCCACTTGATGTCTGGACAAGACGCCAGGATCTGAAAGTAGAGAGAACAGTGAGGTTGGAACGACAATTCCCTCTTCCCCCACGCAGCACTTTGGGCTTAGTTTGCCCACAGACAAACCCCAGACACCCAATTTCTTCATTTGTTGACTCAACTTGTGGTTGTGCTGAGGTTACTGCACAGTCTGGAGAGGGAAGGGGCTGTGGCTGCAGAGAATGCTGTCCATGGGAATAAGGAAGGCAAAGCTCTTCTGCAAAGCTCTTTTGCAACAGTCATAAAATTATATTTTCCCCAAACAGAGTGCTAACATCCTTTTTAAACAAGGACTGTGCCTCTCCTACAGAAAGCACAAAAGGCACAGCACTGCTCAGACAAATCATGACTAAGGCACACGTATTCCCAGACTCCTCTGGAGCCAGCAAGGCAGGAGGAGGAACAGGGCAGAGAGATAAGAATAACCCACCATTTATCTGCAAAGGCAAGGATCAAATTCCTCACAAAAACCAGAACTTTAGCCTGAACAGCTCTCAGGACACAGCTATACAAGGAAGAAAATATGAAGGGCACTGAGTACTTACTCTGGAGTCTGATGCCTTTTCCAGCAGCTCCTGAACCTGGGAGAATGCAGGAGAATCCCGTTAAACCCACAGCACATGTAAGATCAGCGTCTGTGGGGGGTGTGTGCCTGGGACCAACAGGAGCCCCAAAAACACGAGGCCAGGGGGTGATGCTGTCACCAGGCCTGGCCCCCCACCCGCAGAGCCACCCAGACTGGGCTGCCCTGAGACATTCATGGAAAGGGCTGTTAACACTTGGGATTCTGGGATTCTGTGCCCTCTCCCAGCCCCGTGGTGCCCCCCAGACTCACGTAGTTCTCGCCGAAGCTGCGCTGCCCGTGCCCGTACGCCTCCATCACCATCTCCGCCGGCTTCGTTTTGCTGACGGCCACGAGCCGCGGCTGCACGGCCGGGAGCCCCTGCGGGACCACCGGGGATCAGCGGGGGGCATCCCCCAGCCCTAGGAGGGGTTGGGGAGTGGGGAGGGGGGGGTTTGTCCTTATGTCTGTGGGGGGTGGATCAAGCAGGAGGGAGGCCTGTCGTGATAGTGGGGTGCTGTCTTCTTTGCAGGGGGGCTCAGGTGCCCCTCTCCGTGGTGGGACCTGTCCCAGTGGCCCTGGGGAATGTCCCCGCGGTGACACAGGCCCTGTCGGCACACCGGGACCCCTCCCGGTGGCGGTCCGGCTCCGTCCCCATGGCGACGACCCGTGACCTGTCCCCACGGCGCGGGCCCGTCCCTACGGTGACGGAGGCCGTGCCGCCGCGGCAGCGGCCCCCCGCCGTGTCCCGCGGTTCCCCCCGTGTCCCCGGTGTCCCCTCACCTGCGGCCGCCGCGCCGCCGCCTGCTGCAGCTGCTCGGTGACGGCGCGGAGCGCCGGGCCCAGCCCGTCCCCGGCGGCCATGCCCGCTCTCCACATCCCCGCCCGCCCCGCGCCCACTTCCGCCACACCTCCGCCCCGCCCCCGCGCCTCGACCAATGGGAGCACCTTATCGGGTAACTCCGACCAATGGGAGCGCCCCACCGCGCAAGGCCGGCCAATGGGAGCGCCCCTTGGCGCCATGTTGGGAAGGTCGCGATCGCCATGGCGCCCCCCGGGCACGGGGCGGTCGGGGCTCCCCTCGCCCCACTTTCCACTCCTGGCCCTGCACAGCCATCTCAAGGATCATGGATCCAACTCCTGGCTCTGCACAGACACCCCAAGGATCGTGGATCCAAGTCCTGGCCCTGCACAGACACCCCAAGGATCATGGATCCAACTCCTGGCCCTGCACAGACACCTCAAGGATCGTGGATCCAACTCCTGGCCCTGCACAGACACCCCAAGGATCGTGGATCCACGTCCTGGCTCTGCACAGACACCCAGCAATCCCACCCTGTCCCTGAGAGCCTTGTCCAAATACTCCAAGCTCAGGCAGCCTTGGGGCCGTGACCACTCCCTGGGTTCCAGTGCCCAACCACCCTCTGCGTCCACCCCAAAAAATTGGGTTCTTCCCCCTGCACGAAGAGCTGACACCCCTGGGGGAGGGATTTCAATTATTTCGGGGAGGTGGGTGTTAAAAAGCCCCCCAAACAAGTGCAGGCGACAGGGCCCATCCTGCAGGCCTGGTTTAGGGTGGGTTGCGTTGGGGAGCACTTGGAGCACGGCCAGAGCCCCAGAGCAGCCGGGACAATGCCTGGCTTTACCCGCAGCAGCTCCCAGGGAAAGAATGGGAGCCTGCCAGCTGGAACACATTAACTCAAATATTTGTCTTAATGTGCAGAACTCCACTGTCCCTCCGCAGCTTCGCTGTTTACACAGCTGGGCAAAAACACCCAGAAGGTTCCTGCCCTTTGTCCGGTAAAACATGACAGGGATTTTCTGCGAACTTTACCGAGTCTGAGGCGTCTGCTGCTCCAGCCTTGTTCCGTTAGCAGAGCAGGGGCTGACAGACACTTGTGGGATTCCTTGGACACAGGCATCTCTGACTCTTCTTCCATTTTCCTCCTCCTGCTCCCTGGAGGGGGAGAACAAGCACAGACCCCCAGCATCCCCCTGCTCTCCACTCCTCCTCGACATTCCCTCTGGAAAATCTCCCCCCTGCAAATGCACCTACACATCGTGCTGAAGTTCCTCCACCAACCCTGATGTGAAAACTGAAGATATTAAAATCGAAGGCCATTTTATTGTCATAGCAAATACCAAAATAAAAAGGCTTTGAGTTCAGTACATAAGAAGATCAAAGAGCATTCCCATGCTCCCCGTAGCCATTCCCAGGTAGCAGCAGTGTCACGAACCTCTGTTTCCTTTGTTAGAGAGTGGGTTTAAAATTCAGATCTTCGCCTCAAGATCAGGGAAACAGGGCAAAATGCCCCTTTAAAGAGACAGAGGGAATCAAGGCTTACATGGACAGACAGATCCACTCTGGAAAATTCAGGACATTTTACAGAGTGAAGAAACCTGAATGAAGATGCAACAACAGATTGTGGCTTGTCCAGACTGATACACTCAACTTTGCTTTTGATTTTTTACTCTTAGTACAATTTAACTAAATTACATTAATACTTTAGCAGTCATGGTTTTAATTAAAAAAAAAAATCATTAAGAGCTCTTTATCCCAAACTATTGTCTTGCTGTGAAGTCATACATTAAAAAATGACTTTATAATACCACTTTGGCTTAGCTGGGTCCTTTCATTAGTGAAAAATACTTGTGTAGAAGGAGGTCTTAGCTGCTCATGGAAACCTCAAGCATGAACATAGAACAATCCCAAACAAATATCCTCAAGGCTGCTGCAGGTTCATACACTGAGGGGTGAGCCCAGGGGTCGTGGGGAGCAGGAATTTGGGGCCCGAGCCTGAGAACGCGACAGGCTGGTCCCTGACGAGCACTGGCATCATCCCAGATGAGGATATTTGGCCTCAAATCATACCAGCAATTAACCACCAGGCTGTGCTGCCAAGTGCAGATGGATTAGGGAGAGAAGAGAAAATGTTCTCTCTAGGCCTGAACTTCAGATTTTGCACGTGGAAAACAAAACCCTGTTCCCTCCTCGCATGTGGGACGTGAGGAATTCCTCAGCTCTCTGACGTGGAAGGTGCATTCTAGCACTGTTCTGACAGAAAGGGGGGAATTCGACTTTGGGCACTTCAGACAAGAGCTGCTTCTCTCTGCCCTGGGACCTTTCAGGATGATGGTTTGTGCCCTCAGCTACTATGAAATCTTCCTTCCACAAGGTCTATTCCGACCCACAGGAGCTCAGTTCTGCTCATCTCAGCTCGCCTGAATGCCCTTGTTCCAGTCAGACTCCATAAACACAGAGATCCAGTCGCTCTTGCAGAGCAGATAATGAGCTGTTAATGACCCTCTGGTCACTCCAGCAGCTCCTCCCCAGCAAGGCTTTTTGCAAAGTCAGGGTCCCTGAGACAAAGATTCCTTCCTCCCTAGTTTTTCTGGCTATGACTGCGACAATTTCCAGGCCTGCAGCCTGGTTTCACTGAAAAGCACGTCGAGCTCTCCCCTCTCCCCTCCAGGACGTTGCCCTTGTGCCCACACCCTCACCCAGCAGCCCAACTGCTACAAAAAAACCAAGACAAATGGAAAACAAAGCAGTGTTGGGATGCAGAAAACGAGGACTTGGGGTCACTGCCTGCGTGACATCTCATCTAAGGCTTCGATCCCCCCTCTTAAAAACCTGCAGGATTCCAGCTGAGCTCGTGTCCCTCATGGTGCATGTGGGCTCAGCAGAACCTGCCACTGCCCAGGCCTCGAGCAGCCACGTGTAGTGTACAGAATCTAGCACCTTGTTGGGAAAGGGGGTTGAAACAGAGTACTTGGAATTTCCAATGAGAAAAAAAACAAAACAAAACAAAACAAGCTGTAGCAGCGATTCCCCTCCCTCCAAACCCTCAGCATTTCTTTACCTCCCACTGCTACGAACCACTTCAAATTAAGTTCCCATCCAGCTGACTGCCCAGGCAGCCTCTCCAGACTCTTGGGTCTGTGTGGGACAAAGAGCAGGGGAGGTGCAGCTACAGGACACACCTGGAGCTGGCTGCTTAGAAGTTACCAAAAAACCCACCCCATAATTACCAAAGTCCTTGTGTCTAATTGTCATACAAAAGATTGAAAGGATTAAGTCTGATTCATCTCTTTCAGCACGGGAAAGGGGCAAAACAAAAAGGAGCTTCCCAGTTCATGGTTTTTTTTTTTTGATATAAAACGGATAGAAATCTTTCTTCTCAGTTGACACCATGAAGCAGTTTTGTGTCCTCGCTGGTTCCTGCCCCATCCTCCTCTTGGATTCCTTCTGCCAGTCCCTCTGCAGATTTGGTCTGGCTCCCTGCAGAGTCCATGAACATATTGGGGATATCTTTGCCAAAATAGATCTTGCTGTTGGCTGCGATCGCCTTGTACTTCATCAGCTGCAAGTACTCGGGAGTCAACTTGAGCTGCACGAGAGAAAACGGGTCACAACAGCCCGGATTCGGGCAAAAGCAAACTCCTGCCAGGAGCACACGAGGCACCTCCTTTACACAGCCCTGGCAGGAGTGCCCAGCCCCTCCACAGGGAACACAGAGCGCCCTGGGAAGGCTCTCTGTCAGCTCCAAATCCCAGGGACTGAATGGCAAATGGAGAAGTGAAGTGATGGGAGCAGCTGGGGAGATGTTCAATCCGGATGGGATGGAGATGCCCGAGAGCTCATCCCTCACTGCAGCCCCTGCAATGTGAGCTGCTGGGAAGGGAAATACCCCTGGCTGTTTTCCAGGGACTGTGTTTGGGTGAGCAGAGCTCTTTTTTTTCAGGATAATGACATTATAACACAGAGGATGGAGCAACTGGGGCAAAACTTGTGCACAGACACCCCAGCCCTCTGTCCTCCTTGCTGACCCTCACAGAGCAGAAATGCTTCCTGCTGGCACATCCTGGGAACTTGCTGTAGGCAGGAACACACCTGGCAGTTGCATCCATGTAATTTTTCTGTTTCCAGGTTGGGTTTTTTGTTTTGTTTTTCTCTTTCTTTTGCAGTAGCTCTGCCAGGGTGTCTGAGATCAGCTCCATTTGTTCTTTCCCTGAACTGTGATTTACTCTACCCCTGCCTGTAACCCCGGAGCTCTCCCTGCTCCAACTGCCTGCCAGCTTGAGACTGGAATAATCCACATTTCTCATCACAACTGAAACTGATATTCCATCTACAGAGAGAGCCAGGCCCCCTCAGCATCTGGCAGAGCACAGATTTCACACATCCTGACATATTCATCTGTCCAGAGAAGAAAATGAACTTGCAAGTAAGGACCTAAAATGCTTCAGTCAGAGGGAAACTTCGCTGAGAGGAGATGGCTTTGTTTTTTGACTTGGACAATGCTCAGTGACTGCTCCAAGGCACCAGGGAGGAAACCACACCAACCTACCTTGTTGGCCTCGGCCACTTTCATAGCGGTGTAGCACTCAGCGTCAGCCCTCGCCTTCTCCCGGGCAAGAAAGGCAGCATCTGGAAGCAAACACAGGCTCTGAGTCAGATTTTTTTTATTTCCAGCCACGTTAGCGCCGTTTGCAGCTGGAAACCTTTGAGACAAAGTGGCCAGTGCCACATTTAAACTGCAGGGGATACAAGGGGAAGAGGCAAACAAAATGGGAGCTCAGCTCCCAGCTAAATGGCTGCAGGACGAGAGCATGAAGTGAGTAAATTGCATCTCAACTGCAGAGCTCAAAGCATTTCACAGACAGCAGGCTTTGATTATCCCCATCACGTGGGCCGAGCTCGCTCTTTCTTCTCGAGCCAGGACTGACTCTCGTGCTGAAATGCAGCAACTGTTCCCCTGCAGACGTGGGATTTACCCACAGCCCTCGCCCAGGACTCCAGGAACAGCCTGGAACAGCCCAGCAGACTCTCTGCAGATGAGGTCTGTGCCTGTGGATGCAATTCCCAGATGGGATTTGGTCTGGGATGCGGAGATGAAGGTTCTGGCACGCAGAGCAGGGGATTTTAACCTTTACAGGCTCTGCCCCTCAGACAGATTGCTGCAGAGCTTTCCTCTGCTGTATCAACAGCTGCTCAAAGGCTCTGATCCTGTGGGATACTGAAATTCCTGACTCCTAGCAGAGGCATTTAAGGAAAGGAACACTTCCCCTTTCTGTGCTGCACTCCTTTTTCCCTTCTGACTTCACACCTACCCATGATAATGATGACCAGGCCACCACATCCAGTCTAAGGTTAGTGTAATCCTGCTCATCTCTTGACATCCCTCCTAGGACATGGAGCCACACGATTGCAACAGGCCAGTCTGGATCTGGGAGCTGCACAGCTGGATAAACCATTTTTTTAACCTCCCCTAGTAGGGAGAGCTGCTCCACTTAAAAAATCATGTAAACAGCTGGGATGGTTTGGCTCACAACTTCCTCCCTTTTGGCCAAAAGGAGTCGTCTGTCCCAGTCAGAGACACCAGGAAGAATGAGGGAGGCAGGAATCCTCTGCCAGCACAGCCCTGAACTGAGGGGCTGACACCTGCTCAGAAACTCCACCCCTGTGAATGTCAGCCTGGACTGAAGAACAGAGTCAATACAGACTTCAAGAACTCCTTGGTAAACTGCTTCAGGATTTACTTCCTGGAAAGCTCACCCCCCCCCACTCACCTTCAATCTCCGAAATTCGCTTCTCCGTTTCCTTTTCCATCACTTTCTGTCCGTAAGTTATTTCAGCAACTTGTGCAATCTTTTCTGCCTCTGAAATGAAAACGGGGACACACCCATGCTGTCAGCACACCCTCTTCCTAATGTCAGAAGCAGCCTCACCCGGGAAAGTCCTCACTCATCACCAACTTCAGGTGAAAATAAACGCTGGGAAGAATTTCCAGCCCTCAGAAGCCAAGGCTGGAACCCACGTGCGAAGCCCTGAGTTTCTCTGGGAGAGTTTCGGGTCAGAGATGACCCCAAACTGAGCCAGGTGAATTCCTCCCTGGAGTCTGGGGTCTCTTTGCTGCCTGCCCCCACACCCACCACCCTGTCCAGCAACACAGACCGATTAGGGCTTTCTTCCTCTCTGTCTCTGCCTCCTTCTCCACCACCTTCTGCTTCTGCGCCGCGATCAGCAGCTTTGTCTTCTCGCTCTCCCTGGTGAGCAGGAGAAACCAGTTAAAAACATGAGTTCACTGGTGTGGGGATTCCCCCCACAGCCCCAGCTGGCTCCCCCCTCCTTCCAGCATGTTTTCATGTCCACCACTAAACCACGTCCCCAAGTGCTGCACCCACACGTGTTTTGAGCCCTTCCAGGGGTGCATTTTCCAGGCTAAATCCTTCTCTATCTTACTGGGTTTACTCACATTATTGAGCTTGAAAAGTGTGATCATAAATAAAGCGCCCTGCTCCTGCTCACAGTCAGGGAACAGACCCTGGAATTGAGAACAAGCCTCTCAACACGTCCTGCTGTATTTATGGCAGCAGAACACAGGCTGATTCAGGACTCTCCTACCGTGGCCATACCACACAGGGCTCACCACAATCCCAAAAGGTCACAAGAAATGCTAGGGAAGCAGAATGGACGAGAGGGGGTCTTATCATGGCCTACACAGGCTGTTGGCAGCGTGCTGAGGGAACACAGGCATGCCTGAATGACCCAGGGCAGGAGGAGGCAGCTGGCTCAGGGCATTGAAAAGGGATCAGCACGTCAAGTGCTATTAAAGAAAGTTATTTCAAAGCTTTGCAAATCTTTAGCCTGTTGAATCAACAGTTTCTCCATCCCAGTCAAACAAGAGGATTAGTGGTGAAATCCATCCACCTGCCCCTCACCCACCACACGGGGCCAGTGCCAGCGCCAGCGGGGAAGGAGCCCTAGGGGAAAATCATTCCTGTGCTCAAGGGTTCCAACTGGAGAAACCCCTCCTGCCCCAGCAGGGACCTGCCAGCCCCTGCAGTGCTCAGTGCTGCACCTCTGCAGCCCCTTCCCGAGGGTGACAAAGGCTGAGGGCAGCGTTAATGTGCCCGACTGGCCTCCCTGGGGAACACAAAGGTGCAGGGTCCGAGGCACTTACATGAGCTCGTAATTCCTCCGGATCGTTTCAGGGATGTTTGGCTTTGTAACTCGAACTGCCTGCGGAGAGAGACCGAGGAACACTCGGGCAAGCAGCCAGCAACCCAAAGCTGAGCAGCCCCCGGGGCTCTGGGGGACGGGGGGGGACACTGCGGGCGTGCTCTGCCACACAGAGCTGCACAAAGCGTCACCAGGCCCAAAACCCACACAGAAACAGGACTGGAGGATCTCCTGACGTGACAGGGGGTGGTAAAACCCGGGCCAACCAGATCTGTGTTGTAAAGCACTTTTTAAAAAAAAAGTTTCAGTTTCCTGTTTCCTTTTAGCCCTTATCCCTCCTCAGGAGCTGCACCCTCGATAACCCAGTCAAATCCTGATTACCTGTATAATTAATCCAGGGGCCATCGTGGTTAGGTCTTGCTGCAAGGCCAGTTTTAGGTTTTCATCAATCTGATCTGATGGAGGGGAAAAAAAAAAAAAAAAAGCTAATGAAACACCCCCAAGGCAGTTTGCTGTCAGCACCCAGAGTGAGCTGGGATGGCTCACGTTCCTTATTCCTGGAAACTACAAATGTAAGTTGGATGTAGAAGTGCTGGGCTGAGCCTGAGGCAGGTTCTCCAGCAGCCTCAATCAGCACCAGCACTTGGGACAGACCACAGGAACATGGCAGGCACGAGAGGAAACTCTCCAGTTCCCATAACCTGCAGTCTCCCTGAGCCAGAAGTGGCATCTTTGCGATAAAGAATCTGTGCTCTAACCCCTTCCCCCACTGATCTTCCACACTGGATCCTGGAGTAACGTGGTCCAGCTAAATCCTGACTGATTCCAGCCTGCACCTGTGCCAGCATGACACAACAAGGCAAATGGAAAGGCAGGAGAGGGAAGTGGCTGCATCAGTTACTTTAACAGGCTGCAAAAATCATCACTAATGTCTCTTTGGCTCAAGGAGCCCCAGAACTCCAGCAGAGCTGAGGATTTCAAAAGGAAACACAACCCAAAACCCTGCTCTGATGAAAGCTCCGAGGAGGGCAGAGCTTCCAGTTGGGGCCTGCTGGGAAGTGCAAAGGGAAGAAGTCTGTAACAGCCTTGAGAAGGGATCACATCACACTCCTGGATTGTTTGCTTTGGTCCCAGTTTCCTATCTGGAGCTCAGGCTCCTAATGAAGTCCAGCCAGGAGTTTTGGAAGCAGCTGTTATCGGTTCCCTGCACCTGCTGGCAGCTGTGGGGGCAGAGGATGACGAGAGGCCGCCCGAGGGGGGCTGTGCCCCAGTGCAGAGCCCCGAGCCAGACCCAGCCAGCCCAGCCCAAGAGCTAAAGGGGAGTTTGTACAAGTTCCTCCTGTGCAGACCGGGTGCTTTCAGCCCATTTCAGGCAGTTGTCGTCAGCAGCTGCCGACATCTGGAGCCTCCACGGGCCAGGAACCCGCCCAGCAGGAACTGGGGGGATCCCAGCCCCAGGTCTGCAGCTCGTGCAGGAAGTGGGAAGCCAGACTCCTTGGAAAGCCCAGCCCTGCAAACACCCCGTGCTCTCTCAGGCACAGATCCCGTTCCCTTGGGCTCCCAAAGCGTTCCCAGCAGCTCAGTGCCCGCAGGCAGCACTGCCAGTGCTGAAAGGCTGGGAGGATTTCCTGTCAGTCCAGAGCCAGAAACAAAACACTCAGCACTGGCAGCCACTGGACTCGTTCTAGCGAGAAACCACAGCTTTTCCTCAGCCTCTCCTGCCATGTGTCTCCTGATTTCCCGCTGGGAAGGTCAGCAGGCCCCTGCCAACACTCCTGGTTTATGGGCATTGCAGCCACGGGCATGACCCAGAGCTCATCAAACCCTCGGGCCAGGGAGTGCTTGCTCAGACTTTCTGTAACAGCAGAGAGCCACAGACTGGCTTTTCCATCCGGATTAGCAAATCCTGTGACTGATTCAGCCCATCACAGCTGCTGCACACCCAGAGAACGCCACAGAATTCCCACTCCCTTCCCTGAAGCCCTGTGCTGCTGGCAGGGCTGGGGCTGGAGTTCATTGCCACAACACACTGAAGCGCTCAGCTCCCAAAGATAACAGGGATGGACGATGGCAGCTGCTCAACAACCCTGGTTCCACAGAGAGAACACACAGGGGCTTAAGGGATGAAAGCCCAGCACTTGGGGGTTCTGCACCAACAGCCCCTGGAAGAGCCCTCGGAACCAGCAATTCCCACTGGGAAAGGGCAGCTCACCAAACAGCTCGATGTACACCTCCTGCAGCGTGTGGACACTGCAGAACTGGTTCAGCTCGTGGTGGATCTTGTTGAAGATGAGAGCCTTGTCGTAGTCGGCCGTGTAGTTCTTGACAATGTCGTACACTGGGAGAGGAGGAGGGGGGGGAAGGAGGGGAGGGAGGCTGAGCACCCTCAGGGGAGACCCTGAGGGTCCCAGAGCGGGTGTGGAACAAGGGACACCCTCCCACACCCCCCCTCTGCTCAGGGCAGGGTTACTGCTGGCATTTTGGGACACCTTCACCAGTATCCACCCACTGCTCTTGTGAACAGAAGGGTCTGAACCACCCCCAGCCCTCCCTGTATGGCTGCGAAGCCCCCCTGTGTGACCCCTGCACACAGGGAACAGTGTCCAGCACATGCCATGGCACTTCCAGCACACCCCCAGCATGTAAAAAACCAAAGGATTTGGGAAAAAGGCCAACCCAAACCCAGCCACCACCTCCAGACCCCCTCTCAGTGCAGCACAACCCCCCCAGGACGTGTCAGGGGGCGCAGAACTCAGCACTCACCCGCGCTCTGGATGAGGAAATTCACCACCTCGATCCTGTCGAAATAAATCATCACTCCCCCGCTGCCAAGGGAGAGAAAGGAGGGAGGACACTTACTGGGGGGGCTCAGAGAGGGAGGAGAGATCCCCCCCAAGGGGGTGAGTGTGGGACACACCCCAGCCCTGCTCAGCACCCCAACACCCCCAGAACCCACCCCACACCCCCCAAGCAGCACCCCCAAATCCCCCAGCCCCCAGGGATGGTCCTGGGTGGGCTCATCCACCTTACAGAGCCTCCCAGTGCTCCCAGTTTGGTGGCTGGTGGTGGTGGTGGGGAGAAATCCATTCCCTTGGAGCCCTGGAGTAACCAGTGTGGGCACGGGGAGGGACCCAGAGTTTCCAGCCAGGGTGGCGGAAGAGCCGAACATCTCACCTGGTGCCACACGGGACATTTTTCACCTCGTCCGTCTGCAGCGTGGTCTGGAGGGAGGGGGGGATTGAAGGAAAAGAGGCTTAAAGGGAGGGATTTTCCCGGCGCAAATCCCGCTGCCCGCGGGGCTCCCCCGGGGGAGCCTCCCAAGACAGAACCGGACCCGCAGAGCTCGGCCCCTCGCTCGGGGCTCAGCGGGGCCGCCCCAAGAGCCGCCTCCCTCCCGGGACCGGGCCCCCAGAGCCGCCTCCCTCCCGGTACCGGACCCCGCCCGCCCCCCGGGGCTCCCCCGGGCCCAGCAGCACCTGCACTGACTTGTAGGACGTGATGAAGGGCAGCATCAGGTGGAAGCCGGGCCCGCTGGTGGAGGTCAGCAACGCGCCGCCGCTGCGGGAGGACGAGACAGAGAGAGGGAGAGAGGGAGAGAAGCGTGAGCTGCCCGGTTCTCCCGGAGCGGCGCGGGGCGGACCGGGGGGGGGAAAAATGGGGCAGCCGCCTCACCGGTAGTAGACGCCGATGTGCCCCTCGTCGATCTTGTGCACGGCCGAGAGCAGCGCGGCGGCCGCGACCCCGAGGGCGAGCGCGGCGATGGCGCCGAGCTGGGCCATGCCCGGCACCGGCACCGGCGGCGCGCCTGTGACGTCATCACCGCGCGACCGCCGGGGGCCGCCGCCGGTCCCGCCGCCGCCGCCGGGGGGCGATGGAGGAGCGGCGGAGCGAGAGCCGGAGGCCGCGGGTTCGAGACCCGCCCCTCGCCCCTCCAAAATTCCGCGCTCCCCAACACCCCCCCCCCCCCCCCCCCCCCCACCCCCCCCCCCCCCCACCCCCCCCCCCCCCCGCACCCCCGGGGTGAGCACCCCCCGACGGAGAGCAAAGAAGTAACTGCTGTTCAAACTAAATTCCCCCCCCCCCAATTGTTCAAATTCAGAACGTGTAGTTGTTCAAAAAATAAATACATTTAAAAAAAAAAAATAAATCGTTCTGGTTGTTCTCCAATAATAATAATAAAAAAACAAGTGTAAAAAACATCAGTAAAGGAGGAATAATTTGATCTCAGCACTTGGTGCATCTCCGGGGTTATGCAGCGGAGGGTTCAGCGCCTGCTCAGGGATAAGGGATGGAATACCAGCGGTATTTGTCAATCTGAATTTTAAGGCTCTTAAATAAGCTCTAAAGGGGCGCTGGGGATGAAAAACACCCCATAGCCGGTGTGTTTTTAAAGGTGTTTGCCCAGATTTAAGGCCTTGATAAAATGTATTAAAACTTTAAAGGTTTTAATGAATCTAGTATGTGTTTCATAAATCACGAGCCTCCACTCAGCCCCTCTCGGTTTAATAAGGGTAAACTAGGAAATTGCTGTGAGCTGGAGCAAAATACATCCATGGAATATTGAAAAGTAATAGATTTTTAAATGTGGGGTGTTCTGGCTCGCAGGAGAGGTTTTGCTTCATAACACCAGAGCTATATCACTCCCCTGAACGGGAAACCAGCTGCGGCCATGTGTTTAACAGCATCAAGATGTGAACCAGCACAAAGGTAAATATTATTTGTAATAATCCTTAAAAAAAAAAAAAAAGAAAAAAAATAAAGGCCAAAAAAAATCATTACTGCTGGACTCAGGGCCAGGAACATTCAGTTGTGTCTGTGCCTCAGGGCCTGGGGATTTTTTTTTTGTAGGAATAAGTGGTTTATTGCACCCCTTTCTCTCCGGTACTTGAAAACTTCTTCATCCCTGCCCCGTCCCCATAAAAATATCCTGGGGGGGGATTCTGCAGAGTTAGTTGGGACAGTTTGAGGGTCTCTGGGTGCCCACAGTCCCAAAGCCTGGGGAGGGTCCCCCTGCCCGTGGCCCCGGACCCCGTGGGGCCAGCGCAGAGCGCTGTGTAAAGTCTGTCTGCCCTCATTAGCTGTCACAAGTAACAATGCCGGGCTGGCAATAAAGGCAATTCCGAGGCTGTTGGCCATTAATCATGGCCTGACAGCTGGGAATAGGGCTGGAAAAACTCTGTCCCTGCCATTCCTGTTTGGTGTTTAAGGTTACCCCCGTGCGCAGACGGAGCTGTGGGGTGGAAGGCTCTGCCTCACCAGTGCTGCCCCATCCCCACTCCTGCTCCATCTCCATTTCCTTCCCATCCTCAGCCCCACTCCTGGCTTCGAGATTCCATTCCATCCCCATCCCTATCCCTGTCCCACCTCCATCACCACTCCTGTCTCCATCTCCTTTCCCATCCCCAGACCCTTCCCTCTCCCATCCCAAACCACCTCCATCCCCATCCCGGCTTCTCCTCCCTCGCTGAAACCCAAAGGAGCAGTGGAGCCCAGGAAGGGAAATCCCTGGAAGGAGCTGGAGCTGGAGGGTGCAGAGCGCTCGGCCAGGCCCCTTCCCACTCTGCCCCAGCTCTGGAAGGGAGGGGGTGGGAGAGGGGCTGTGGGGGAGTCACTCCACAAATTCCGTCCATCCACCATCGTTTGCTGATCGCAGGGCAGGATTGTGTTCGAGTCTGTCCGGGCTCGTTCCGTGTCAGCACTAACAATACAGCACTTGGCAATCCAGGGAGTTCTGTGGCGCTGGCCATTAATCATTCCCTGACAGTCTGGACCTGGCGAGGAGGGAACAGCTCACATGTGCTCGCCGTGCCCCTTCCCCACCACCAGCGGGGCAGGAGGGGGCTCTGCTGCCTCAGGACCCACCTGAACCCTCCACAGGCGATGAGCTGAGGGTCCTGATTCCACATCCCAGGCATCACAAGGGGCGTGTGGGGCAGGCAGAGAGCAGGGAGACCTTCCTGCCCTCGACCATGGGGCAACCAAGCTCCAAGGGAATGACCCCTCCAGGAAGAGGCTCTCGGGAACGAGTTAAAACTGTGGCATTTTGCCAGGTTTTCGTCTCCATCACCATCCTCTCTTGCTCCACTGGCTCCTGCTCACCCCCAGCCTCAGGGCCGGGGGGTTTGTCCTCAGGGGAGGTGGTCATGGTGGGAGCCAAGTCCCGGCACGGCAGAGGGGAGCTCACCCCGAGGCTTCACTCCACACCCCACGTCGTCCCGCAGGCGCCGGCCCCGTGGCCCTGTGCCAGCCTGCCAGGTCATCCCCCAGCAAATAAAGGAGCAATGTGTTTCCAGCCCCCCGACGCTGTTTTCTAAAGGGAAATGATTAATGGCCCTTGGAAACCACAATTCATCCCGGGAAAGAAAGTAGATTTACCCGAAACATGCGTGAGAATTAGCGCTGGGATCAGCTCCTAGGGCAGAGGGGGGGGAGGCTAATGGCAAACAGAGACTGTCTGTGTGCAGGGGGGGGGAGAATACCCTGCCAAAAACACGGGCTGGAGGAGCTGGGATGGAGCTGGGATGATGCTGGGACAGGAGGAGGAGAGCAGCCATCAGAATTAGGTCCCTCCCCGGGCTGGAAATCTCAGTCGCTCCTTCCTTCCCTGTTCCACCGTGAGATGGTCACGACACAGAAGGGAATTCTCCTCCCATGGGCGTCCCAGCACAGCACAGCAAGGGATGGACAGTGATGGTGGGATCCAAACTGGTCATTTCCAAGTGTCCTAGAGGTCCCTGGCACCGGGGAGAAGCAGGAGTTGCACCAGAACACAGGGAGCTCCGGCCTGCAAACGCCAAATGCTTCAAAAAAAGGCTGGTTTGGGCTCAGGGAAAGATCTCACCTTGTTCCTGCTGGCGGCAACCACTGGGATGACTGGGCTGGGCTGGGGTGCACCAGGGCAGCAGGGGGCCATCACAGTGATGCTCTGGTTGTCCCCACAACAGCCACCCACGTGTTTCATCCCTGGGGAGCAGGAGACCTCAGAGAAGGGAAAACCACCCTTTTCCTCTGCAAGAATGGGAGGGAAGTGGCTGCAGCAGCCCCTGGTCCCACTCGGGTGTGGGAACTGCAGCATCATCCTGCTGAGTCAGAGGAACAAGGCAGGGGCTGACGGGTTAGGGAATTCATGGAAAAGGCTTCCAGGCACAAATCCTCACCTGGATCCAAGCTATCCAAGCTGCCATGCCCTCCTCTGCCCAGGAGAGCGGCGAGGGAGGGGAAAGGGCTCCCTCGGGAGGAAGCAGGGACCGGTGACAGAGTTATCCCCTGATCCCAGAGATAAACCCCAGATCCCTGCCTTGGTCTCTGCTCTGGATCGGGGCAGGGCCGGCCCCACACAGGTCCTGTCCTGTCAGCAGAGGAGCTCGGACAGGGCTCCAGGAGGGAGATTTATTTGTGGGATTCCGGGAAGGGCTGGGGAAGCCTCAGCGAGGTGCTGAAGCCCTGGTCAGGACTCAGCCCTGGCTCGGTGATATATTTAGAGTGGGATAATGTAAGCGACAGGAGGGAAAAAAATAAAAAGAATCCACGGAGGAGGTGCAGATCCGTCCCCTTGGCCGGGAGTTACTGGATGATCTGAGCCAGGGAACAGATAGTTGGATTTCCCTCATTTCTCCCTTCAAATAAATCACAGCTCCAGAGCCCTTTAAACTCTGCAACATGATCTGTTCCAATAAGGAAGGGAATGAAAGGCTGCGCCTCTCTGGAAGCCTCCAGAGCCATAAATCTCCTATGTACAAACACAGACCAGATTTCCAAGTGCATTTATTTTATTGTATTGTTTTAACAGAAAAATCAAACTGCAATAAACTCCGTCCCTCATTAGCTGTCTCCGTGTCCGGGCCAAACGCTGCTAACGAATAAAATCAGGACAAAGGAATGTGGCTGCGGGTCCAAGGCCTGGCCGGGCGCTGACCCCCCGAAAGGCCCTTCCCTGCCAGGAGGTGTGGGATGGGGGGATGGCTCCTGCACTGCCCACCACTGCAGGTTTGCTGGTCACACCAAATCCAGTGTCCCTGCTGTGACCCGGCATCCCTGGGCCTGGAATCACCGCCGTGGCTCCAGCATCGCTGCCGTGGGCTTGGCATCCCTGCCTGGCCCCCACTAGGGCAGCTGGAGTTTAGTTTGGGGGTTTCTTGCTTCGGTTTGTTGTGGTCCCCGATGTTTTGCACCCCAAGCGAGGCACCAAAGAGCAGCAGGAACACGGGGCAGTTCGGGTGGGGACATGTGGGTGCCCCCCAGGCTCCATGAGATCCCCCCCCCCCAGTGCCCATGGGAAGGGGCTGCAGAATTAGGGCTGAACTCACTAAACACTGGGTCAAACACCCAAATTAGCAACCGGGGCATTGCTGGAGTTGTTGGTCATTAATCATCCACTGACAGTCCTGAAGGGTCTGTGGCTCTGCGGGGGGACGGGAGAGCTCGGGGACAGGATTGTGCCTGGCACTGCTGGTGGCACAGATGACACAGTCCCCACACAGAGCATCCAGTGAGTTTTCCCAAAAGCTGTCATGTCCCGAGTGCAGGAGATGCAGCGACTCGGTCCGATCCAGGGGGAAAAAAAAAAAAAAAAAAAGAAAATCCATCCCAAGCTGCCCGGGAAGGAACAAGGAGCCTGTCTGCAGGATTTATGGCGCTGAGCCGCAGAGCCCAGAGCAGCGCCCGCGCCGCGCGGGTCCCGCCTCAGCCCACGGAGAAATTCCTGACTTATTGAATCACATTTGTCATCCCTAAATACATATGCAGGCCCGTGTTTCTGAATCCATAAACATCTTTAACTAACTCCGCTCGGCGAGGCCT